CACACACACACACACACACACACACACACACACACAGGCGCAGGGGGCAGGGGGAGAGATTGATTTTTGGCATTTCGTTTTAAAACAAAAGTAGAGAGTGGGACGCCCAAGAAATTGACCTCTGACCTCTACATGTTCCACACATAGAAACTCAAATACTCTAAGAGTGACAGTGCATCTTTAAAAGAAAGAAAGAAAGAAAGAAAGAAAGAAAGAAAGAAAGAAAGAAAGAAAGAAAGAAAGAGAAAAAGAAAAAGAAAAGATTTATTTCATGAGTATGTTGTCACAGTCTTCAGACACACCAGAAGAGGGCATCAGATCCCGTTTCAGTGCTCTTAACCTCTGAGTCATCTCTCCAGCCCTTGACAGTGCATCTATAAAAAAGAATTCTATTTGAGTCTCTGACTTTTTTTTTGTTGTTGTTTTTTGTTTTTGTTTTTTGAGACAGGGTTTCTCTGTGTAGCCCTGGCTGTCCTGGAACTCACTCTGTAGACCAGGCTGGCCTCGAACTCAGAAATCTGCCTTCCTCTGCCTCCCAAGTGCTGGGATTAAAGGCGTACGCCACCACGGCCCGGCGAGTCTCTGACTTTTAATTAACTAACTATTATTATTATCACTAAATAAGGGGATGAGGAGGTAGATCAGTAGTTAAGAACATCTAGAGAAAACCTGCGTTTGACCCCCAACACCTAGATCAGGCTGTAGTGATTCACTTGGAACTCTAGCTCTGGGTCTGATACTTTTCTCCTGGGTTCTGAGGGGACCTGTACTCACATGTGCACATTCTTAGACACAGACACAGGTACACATGACTAAAACTAAAAATATATCTTTTAAATCTTTCAATGGCTTGCGGTTAGGACAGAATTCCTAATAATTTTCAAAATGGCCCTAAACACATTTGTGGTATTTGCACTCTGCATCTGTGCTAGGTGGTATTCTCATTAATCAACTCTGAAAAAAAATAAAGATTTTCTATGTCTTGTATTATCAAGAATTCTGCCAAGATTTAGTTCTTTATTTAAAAATAAGCATACCCAAGCTGGGTGATGGTGGTGCATACCTTTAATCCCAGCCCTCAAGGCAAAGACAGGTAAATCTTTGAGTTTCTGGTCTACAGAGTCAGTTTCAACACAGCTAGGACTACACAGAGAAACCCTGTCTTGAAAAACAAAATACCAAAACCAAAAACAACAAAAAGCATACCTTCTCATTAGTATTCAAGTTCTGTTTAATATTTTATTAGTGGTACAATTATACTACTAACTTAATTATATACTATGGTACAATTATATACTATGCTGATCAAGTTTTTTTTTTCTTCCTCCACTTGAAACAAAGGTCATCTAGGAAAAGAAAAATTCAATTGAGAAAATGCCTCCATCAGATTGTCCGGTAGGCAGTTTGTGGGGGTGTTTCCTTGATTAATGGTTGATGAGGGCCCAGCTCACTGTGGATAGTACCACTCCCAGGCAGGTGGTCCTGGGTAATAGAAACTGAGCTGATTATAGAGAGCAAAGCCAGTGAGCAGTATTCCTCCATGGCCTCCAGGTGGATGTCATCACACTGGCAGGCTATGGGTAAGGTCACTCAGCAGAGAGGCAAGGGTTGGGGGTTCAGTGATTTTAGTAATCTAACATCTTCACTGGGCCCATCTCTTAACTGTCTCACTTCTCATTCTTGCTATGCTGGTGATTAAGGTCCTGCTACATGAACCGTAGGCCACACACTTAAATGATGCCCAAACCACAGCATCTCCACTGCTTACATTCTTGTATATCTACATATTGTCCACAATGTCTCAATTGGAAAAAAATGCACTTCAAAGGTTGTTGAACACACACACACACGATTAAATTTTTCTATTTTATTTTTTTTATTTATTTTTTAAGTAATTTAGTTTTTCTCAAATTGTAATTCATTCACACAGGGGATATAAACACAGAAAGGCAGGATGTGGGAAGGGGATGACACTGGAGTGTGGGTGTTCAGGGGGAATACAGATATCTTTCAGAACCAGGTATCGGCTGGGTGAAGGTTCAGGAGACAGGTCACTATGAGTCTGCCTTTGACTCACTTGTCCTTATCTAAGTTGGTATTGTCTGCCAAGGCTACCTATTTACAAGATCTATGACTACTCGGGCTGGTAAATTTCCACAAAAGCTGCCTGTTTACATTAGCTTATAGCCATCTGTTTCAATGTTTTTTCACAGAGACCTAAGACTTGGTGTTAGTATACATGTATGACAGGACTACTGCTGATTTTAGGCCTATGGCTGGTTTTAGGCCTTCAGTGTGTAATCAGGGCTGCCCCTGATATCTCCTCCCTTCTCTAAATTTTTCTATTTTAATTCCTGTTAGTCCAATACTTTTGTGAGACAATGTGTCATTATGTAGCCCAGGTATGGTAGTATGAAAAGGTTTGGGCCCCACAGACTCGTGTTTGAATCCTTGACCCATTGGAAGTGGCACTATTAGGAGGTCTGGCCTTATTGGAGTGGGTGTGGCTTTGTTGGAGGAAGTGTGTCACTGTGGAGGTGGGCTTTGAGGTCTTATATGTGGAAGCTCCTCCCAATAGAAAGCTCCTCCTTGCTGCCTGCAGATCAAGATGTAGAACTCTCAGCTCCTTCTCTAGCACCAAGCCTGCCTGGATGGTGCCATGCTTCCTGCCATGATGATAGTTGACTGAACTTCTCAAACTGTAAGCCAGCCCCAATTAAATGTTTTCCTTTATAAATGTTGCCTTGGTTTTGGTGTCTCTTCATAGCAATAAACCCTAAAGCATCTGGCTGGCCTTGAACTATTCTCTGGAGTCTGCAGTGCTGGGGTATGGCTATGTAACTACACCTGGCTTTCAGCCTTGTGATTTTAATAACAAAAGTACTGATTTATCTGTCAAACGTCTACCTGGGGATTTCCATCTCACAGACGTGTGGTGTGAGCAGAGATGATTTATCTAGGGCAGAGGTTTCAGATTCTAAATGGATGCATGCTATTGAACAAAGAACCAATTCAGGCCATGGAAGGGGAGAATGGTGCAACAAAACTTGCCTCAGAGCTCTACAAAGTGCTCAGTGATTGCTTTCTGGGGCAGGGCTGGCCTAGGCAGGTGGGAAGGCTACTTTACTCCCCAGAGGAAGTACAAGTTCCTGCTTAAAACAGGCTCATGGATTAGGTTGGCTAGAAGAATCTAGATGTTAGCTATTATAGATGGACTTTTCACACATGCAAATTAACCCCAATGTAAAGCATGCAGAGTAGGTTTCTTTGAGCACTGTGATAAAGCCAAGTCTCTAGGGTCTTTGCTCTGCTGGAGACAGTAGCTGGGGCAGTTGCTCAGGCCCTCAATATGACACCCCCATAGCTATAGTGGCTTACAGTGCCTTTTCATTAGTCACCTTACTCTCTAACCTCTGGTGAAATCTAAGCAGCTATGTTCTCACAGTGACTGGATTTTGACTGAGAACAGCTGTAGGAGTTTTGCTTTGGGGCTTATTGTGTTTTGGACATGTGTTTTTATTTGGTTGGTGGGAAGCTGAGATTGGGCCAGTGAAAAAGGCTGTAGTGGATGAATTAGAGATGGGCAGCTGAGAAACACTGAGCTCATAGTTCAGTTAAACAGGCTGTGGTGATCGGGCTCCTGAAGCAGCTCCCCATGATGCTGCCTGCCCCTAGGAAGCCATTACCTTCCAAATTGTTTACATTCACCATCCCGACGGGACTCTCCTTGTGCTGACTTGGCCATATTTCTTGGTTTTATTTCCTTTCTGACCCTTGTTGCCACTCTGAACATATGATTTCTCCAAGACATGCTGCTCCCTAGCTGTTCTCATAGCTCTGGGGTCCTTAGTGTCATCAAGTTCATCTTCATCTCCCTCCATGCTAAAACTCACAACCTTTAGGTCTTGGCTCAGGTTCATAGGGACCTACTTGTTCCTCACGAACAGTTGCCACTCCCCTAGGAAGGTATGCTGGTTTAGTACCCTGGCTGGTAAGTCAGTATGCTCTACCCTCTGGCAACTGGCAACCTACCTAAGGCAGCAAGCTATATTCAGCCAGATAATGCATGTTATCATGCAACGTACATGACACACAGCAGGTAATCAAATACTCCACAAGAAAGGCAGAACTTAATATGCAGTCTGAGGGACTCAGTTTATGTTAACAGCAACTTCAAGCGGCCACAGACTATAAAAAGTTTCCTGGGGGGAAATTGAGTAGTCTCTGGTACAGTTAAAAGGTCCTCAAAGTTTGTGGCTGCCCAGGACAGGTTTGGAAACACTGGAACCACTGTGAGACTATTTGACTTTGAGGACATCAGACAATCAGAGTACCAAAACAAGGTCTCTTCATCCATCTCTACGAAGTGGTCCTGAGGTAATACTTTGCCAAGACCTGAAACAAAATGAGAAAAATATGGATAAGTTAAATGAGAATCTCGGCTAATATTTACCTCTGTAAATTTACTGTTGTACTTAAAGGCTTCTCTTTAACTCAGACTCTGATCCTATGTTCCTCTTGTGGTTTTGTGTGAACATACAATGATGAGAAGTTAGCACCACAGGAGTTTTCCCTTGAAGAAATAAGCAGCAGCAAGATACACTATTCTTGTACATCTTGATTTCGCACAGCTCTAATAAAGAAATCCCAGGTAGTCCTGAATGTGAAACTCAAGACTAAATAACTTCTACAACATTGTAGAGTGTCTTCTTAAAGAGAACACAAAGTCTCTAAATGTAAATGGGTCAATGCGACTAGATTAAGAATTTTATTCATTTGCTGAAGAGAAGGCCAAGTAGTTAGAAGGGCACGCTACACTTGAAGAAGACCAGAGTTCAGTTCTCAGCATCCATTTTAGATAACCACCTGTGACTCCAGCTCTGGGGGACTGGATTCCCTCTTCTGGCTTTGATGGACATGGCATTGTGAACACCCACCCCTCAATATGCACATAATTAAAGATAATTAGAGGAAAAAATAACTATCAAATATTTGTAAACCACAAAATGATAAACAGTATGCAGAACACATAAACAGTGTGTAGCACCCACGTGTGCCACAGTTGAGAGATCTTGTCCTGTTGTGGTAGTCAGTTAATCCTCTGGCGGCTGTGCTGGCGCTTCTCACTACCGCCCCAATGTTGTGGATTCTTGAATGAAAGACACACATGGACTCTATTTTAATATGCCCCTAAGAAGCTCAACAGCTGGCTATTCCCAAATTTCCACGTTTCTAATGCCTCCCCTCCGATACTCCTGAATTAGTACTAAAATCTAAACTCTTATCTTTGTTACCCTAGACCCAAACGGGGAGTGGGAGGGTTGGGGCTGCCTCTTACATGGCTGTACCCTCTCACTTCTCCAGCTCTCAAGCCCAATCTTCCTGATTTCCCGGCATGGCAATTATAAAACCTTCTTCTTCCCATGGTTCCCTTGCCTGGGAGTCCTGCCTCTGTCTCCCTGCCCAGCCATTGGCCACAGCAACTTTATTTACCAATTAGAGACAACTGGGGCAGAGACCCTCAGTGTCTTTCAGGCAGAAGTTAGATTTCCCTGTGATTTTGGGAGCTGAATTAACACAAATAGCATTAGAACCCATCTACAACAATTCACCCTTTTCATCCATTAAAAAGGCCTTTTCTCTCAGATATACACTGAACACAATTATAAGTTATGTAAACTATAAGGTAAGATATACATTAACAACATCCAGTCCATCAATTTTTATCAATTTAGTACATTACTGTAACAGCTATCCTATCTTAAGGAGTTTATAATTTTCTACCTGAATTCTGTTTTGATTTTAACTTGTATTATCGTCTGAAAAAATGATCTTTTTAAATCTAGATCACCTTCCTTAGTGCTTAACAACTTAAAGGCCACACTCATACAACCCCAGGAAAGGGAGGTTTACCTTCTTACTCCATGAACAAGCTGTAACGGAGCCACGGTGCACAGCAAACACCCTTGGAATCCTCAGTGTACTCGTCTGACCAATCCAAGTGGAGGAATGGACTGTGGCAATGCAGTTTCTCCTTCCCTGGCCTGTCCATGAGGTGATCATATCACCAACGTCCTTAGAACTGCAGCATCCCTTCAGACTTCCCCAGATGCTACACAGGGCTCTTTCCGCAGAGGTCACAGTTAGAAAGCTGAGGTTCCAAACATGAGTAGTATGAGGAGGAAGCTAAATTGGGCATGGAGTCCTTCAGTTCACCTATGTGCTGCTTTCTTGACAAATGACGAATGCACTGTTGCCCAGGTGTGAAGGCCAGAAATCACACAGACAACATGCAGTGAAGTCTAGGAGATCAACAGCACGTGTGCAAGAGAAACAGGATAATTTTATTATCAGGTTTTCTTAAAAAAAAGGTACAATAGAAGCTCTACAGTTCAGCAAGATTAGACATGATTTATAACTTCAATGTTCTAAAAAACAAATGACAACAGAAAACTAGCAAAACTACAAAGCTACTAGAGAAAAGAAAAGCTACAGCTTAACTTCCTTAAAAACTATTTTCCAACCAGTAAGTACCTTCACCAAGTCATTAATCAAATGCTTCCTACATCTAGAAACAGATGATCAAGCGGACTCAAACATGTAATGCGTAATCTTGTTTTTCCAGCTATAAAATAGCAGTATCTCAACAAAATAAAATATGCTCTAAGCAGTTTTCTGAAAACTTCAATGACCTTTTCTGGCTCAGTACCTGACTTGAAATGTTCAAACCTTTATATTGCACACAAAAGGAACTTTAGCAGCATACTATGTGCATGAGAAGCTGATGAAAAATAAGATTGGAAACCCCTTTAAATTGTGTTCCATTTACATGATTTAAATATATAGTTTTCTATATCTTTAATTAGTACAAGTAAAAAGGTAAATTTCTGAACAGCACAGAAATACAAACATATTTAGAGTTTTACAAAATATATCCAACCCCTTAGACATGCACAATCTTTTAATTTCGGAGTGTTATACCATACGAGGGAGCCAGTTTCTTCTTCTTCATAATTCAGGTAGGAAGTCATTTTTATGAAGCTTTTGTATGAAAAAAAACACATACCTTTGTCTCTAAAAAAAATTTTTGTGGAATGTTGGAAATTATGGAAAAACAATTCCAAACTAATGAAGTCAGAAGACTTGGAATGAGAAGATCCTAGCGCCACGTTATGAGGAATGATGGTCATCTTCAGGTGATTCAAGGAGCATTCTGTCATAGTTAAAGGCTACCAGGAGATGTCGTGGAAAGTCATGAATGCTGGGCCACTTCTCCTTAAAGAACCACAGTGTACAAATGTTTCAGGGATCCTAAGCAATACCTCAGTACATTAACAGGCTGGTGCAGCTAGCACCACAAGCAGGAGCAAGCGGCTTCTGTTCTAACAGGCTGCCCTCTGAGGAGGCTGCAGCAGACACTGCCTGTGGGTATAAATCAGGACGCTGGCCTGCAGAACTTCTAAACTTATCAAGAATGAATGAGGGGCCACTGGCTATTAATTCCCACAAGGTTTTCCCCATAGAATATTTAACTTCAATAACACCTGCCTACCAGGAAAAAAAAAAGGTACAGCTTCACATACAAATGTAAATAGCAAATTACAATTCTAACTTCTGTCTAAACTCATGCCTTTAGTAGGTTAAGTACTGGGTGTCAAAATATTCTCCATTCAGACTTTAAGTGCCCTGTTTCTCAGCTATGTAATAGCTTCTTATTTTTGTTTTCCTAATTTGCTTTTTCCTTGAATTTCTAAAGAAAACTATTCTAAAAAACAGTTAACTGCTTAGTACAAAATTTGAAAGGCAGAAGGGCTGAGGAAGTCCTGTCATGTGCTCTATTTTGCTGTGCAAGAAAGCCAACTGTTTCTTAATGCAAAAGGAGAGAACTCTTTTCAGGCTTGTAGCTAGTGAAGGATTTGGGAGTGGACAATTCATATTGGTTATAAATCAGATGAACGTATACAACTGCTCCACATCTGTTAAACATGCAGCTTCAGAATTCCTATTCTACTCTAGACTCACAGCTTTAATTCTCTCCCTTATCTGTGTCATTGTCGTTACACTAGGATCATAATGGGTTTCCTGAAAACCACCTGAACAGCAGTACAGCTACTGACAATGTCTGCCTGGTGAAACTGAAAAATGTTGGTTGATTTTCACTCTGGCAGGTCTAGTTACACTCAGTTCTTAGACACAAGAGTATTGGCAATCACTGGAGAAAGTGTGGTTTCCAATAGCCACATCACCTGGAAAGAGTCAAAAGGCCTAGTGTTGGCTAATGGGCTACCTTGCCAGCACTGGAGGGAGACTACGCGTCAGAGTTAGCCTAGCTCACTGGACACTTCACATGTGTGGGCTCATTGGGTGTATCTCCTATTGTCCATGACACTCGCTGCTGCATTAGGTGATGCCCCTGCCAGCAACAAAATTGTGTATGGCCCTTGAAAAGCCAACATTTCCAAGAACCTAAAGGAAGCAGGCATATGGTCTTTTGACCATTCTAAGATGTTTTATATTCAAAGGTAAGTTATTTTATGCTGACCAGTTAAGTGACTATTTTAAGAGTTAAGTTTTTAACTACATTAAGAGAAAGTTCAATTAAAATATACACTTGAGCCTGGCACAGTGGTGTGCTCCTATAATCCCAGTTGAGACAAGAGGGAGGAGTTTGGCAATTTTAGAGACCTATGTGGTAAGACAGTGAGACCATACGCAGGGGAACCCATACACACTCAAGTGGGGAGTGTGAGACAAAAGCAGTTACATATTCCCCCTCCGAGTATATTTCAAAGTGAATGTTGCATTGTTTTTGTTTAAGTGACAGCAGGCATTTCCCCAAGTCATACAAACCTGGTGCAAACTAAAGAACACATCATCATCTTACTAGCTAACCCAGGCCGGGCTCCTAGCAATGCCAACTACCATGGGTATAGCAATATGCTTTAGCCACATGAAATGATATCTAGCCATGAATTCTCAGGAGTCTCAGCACAACATTAACGTTCCTTTCAGTTTTGTGTGGCTTTATTTTCTTCTCTTTTCAAATATTTACTGGCTAAAGACAATTAATATTGTTCCCCCATTAACCGATTAATTTGTTGTCACTGGAATCTCTCAAGTTATTATGCCCAATTGGAAGTAGTTCGTGTTAAAATGCAACTTGCCAAGTTTTAAAAATACTGAATTATGCCCTATTTTCTTTTTATAGTCCTTAGGGAATCTCATACGGGATAAATGAAATATAATCGCCAGGCAGTGGTGGTGCACGCCTTTAATCCCAGCACTTGGGAGGCAGAGGCAGGCGGATTTCTGAGTTCGAGGCCAGCCTGGTCTACAGAGTGAGTTCCAGGACAGCCAGGGCTACACAGAGAAACCCTGTCTCAAAAAACAAAACAAAACAAAAAAACAAACAAAAACAACAAAAAAAGAAATATAATCAATGTCCTTAATTAGGCCCCTGACTTTGCCAACGCTTGTTAAATCATATGTTATTCCACATGCCTTCTGTTACTGAAAAGGCAGACTGTTTTCCATAAGCACTCCCTGAGAACACCCATTCAGGATCCCCTGAAAGGCAAATGACAGCTATACATGACAAGCATGAATTTAAATGACAGGCTGGCAAATTCATGCCTGTGGTAACATAAAACTAGCTGTACTGATTTACCAAACAAGTGACTCCTGGCATGGGTGTGAATTCATTCTCTTGTTTCTTACTGTTCTTTTATTTGAGGTGTGTGTCTTTGTGTGTGTGAATATAAGCATGCACTCAACACATTCCCTGGAAGTCAGAGGACAATCTGGTTCATCTTTTCCACATTGTTTTGAGGCAGGGTCTCTCATTTTTGCCAATTCATTGTTCACTCTAGGCTAGCTGGCTTTCTAAGATTCTCTAGACTCTACCTCCCACCTCATTGTAGGAACACTGGGATTAGAGATGTGGCTTTTTATGTGGGTTCCAGGGATCTGGATTCAAGTTGTCATGCTTGCACAGTAAGCACTTTCCCTCACTAAAGCATCTCCTCGGCCCACTTCTTGTTTTTCTAAATGTGGGCTAAGTCATGGTTTATATTTAACTTTTATTGGTCATTTTGTTTTTCTTTAGAAGGTAGCAGCCCTGACGACAGGAGGATTTTCAGTCAGGAAAGCAGGAAGGCCAACTGCCTTGAAAAGCTCAATGCAGAACAAGACTAAGAGAAGGCCTGTGGATCTATGCAGATCCAATGGACGACCACTTACATGAGGAAACAAGGCACATATTTTTGATAACAAAGTGCTGATTAAGACAGCAACATAACTGGAGTTGACTGAGCTAGCATGTGGGTCGACAAAGTACTGTCCTCCAGACACTCCAGACATGTGCCAACCCTTCAGTGCTGCTGAATCACCACTGCTGCTTCCTTGCACAAGCACTGCCAGTAGGAGAGAAGCACAGGGGCATCTCTGCTGCTTCACACCAACTGTGACAGGAGGATATTCATAGAAAATGACATCTTACCCTCAGCTTTCCCCTCTTGAATTTCATAGCTCTGGGAAGAAGTGTTCAGTGGGTAGAGGATTCCCTCTAACCACCCCATAAAAGCCCACCCTAGAACTCAGGCTGGAATGCATAATCCCTATATGTTACAAATACATTTTAGGGCTAACTTCAGAGATAGTGAAATAGTAATATAACTTAATTTTAGTCAATATAAATTACAATGACCATCTAAATATTTAAACAGCAAAATAGAACAAAATATACATATGTAAAAATTCTTCTAAGTAAACAAATGTACAATCTCAGAACTTAAAATTCACTAGAAGGTTCATTGTGTACATTAATTAGGCTCAGAACGAAGTAAAAGTAGTCAATTTAACCCCCAACCTGGAAAGCTATTCTGCTATGGTTGTGATTTCATCCACTTAGTATCCTGCAACTTTCATTTAGACAGAGTGCAACGGTCCATGTAAACAGTTTGTCATCTTGGTCCCTGGGTATGGACCTCTGGATAGAGGAAGAAACCGTGGGAGCAGCAGAAGGGGAGGGAGCATTACACCTTAGAAAACAAAGCAGCTTCTGCTGCTGGACTCAGGGCTTCCCATTGGGTGGCTCAGGAAGACTCTGAGGGGTGGATGTGGTGAAAGTAGACAGCCATGAAGACATAGCTGTCTTTGCACTGGAAAAAGCTCCTCCAACTGATTGGCCTGTTGGAGAAACAGAAAAACAAAAGGAAAAAATGTATGAATTTAATAAAAGGTTAAGGTTTTTTGCATGCTGGGAAATATAACGTAGGCAGGTTCTTTAATACTGAACCACATCTCCAGCCTATATCTAACATTTTGTTAGACAATTAAAACCCGACAAACAAGAATAAGATTAACTCATTGAAACACAGTAAGATTTGTAGTTACTAAGATACCACTTAAATTTTTAGTTCAAAAGACTATCTTTCCATTTGAGTGTCTTAAAGAAAACAGTCATGTTTCACCACAGGAGCCCACACTAGGTACTTTGTGGGGGCTTATAGCATAATTTTACAGCCACAGCACTAGCAACTCTGACTATGATCAGAATTATCTGGAGAGCTTAAATAGCTAAATATACAGCTGGAGAGATGCCTCAGGAATTAGAATTGTTTACTGTTCTTCCACGACCAAATTCAGTTCCTAGCACCCATATCAGGAGACTCAAAACTGCCTTTAACTCCAGCTCCACGGGTCCCAAAGCTTCAGGTCTCCATGGGTACCCACACTTCCATGCAGACAGAACAAACACACTTCTCTGAACCTACTTATATTACAAGAATAGTACTATACTGGAAGAGAGCCTTGTAGGTCTTGTCATGTTGTTTTTAAATAGTATCTTTGAAGTTGCTGTGAAAGTGAGATTATTTGAGTCACTGCTGTTAGAGAAAGGGCGCACAGAAGAGACTTGTGTTGCAATTTAATTAACAGCAGCGACACTGGAAACCAAATATAGCTCTTCTCCTTGACCGTGGGTCAGTTCTTACACTTCAGTTCCCCGTCGTCTGAATCTTCAGACAATAATATTCAGGTGATAAATGTTCAATAGAATATTTTAGAAATAAATCATTTACAGTCTGTTTGAAGTGGTGATGGCCCATCCCACTTTCCAGTTCTGTACCTACTCATATTTCCTTTTGTCAAATATACAGCTTCTGCTCCTGCCTACCAGTCACTTGGTAGACCCGTGGTTATCAGACTCACTCCCTTGGTATGCAGGTTGGTTTTCATTAACTTGACTCAAGCCTAGACAAATCTGGAAAGAGGGAATCTTAATTGGGAAAATGGTCTTTAGGTAAATTTATAGAGCAGTTTCTTGATTAATGATTAGTGTAGGAGGATTCAGCCCACCGTGGTTGGTACCACTCCTGGGCAAGTCTTCTTGATGGTGTAAGAAAGTAGGCTAAGCAAGGCACTGAACAGTGTTCCTCCACCGTCTTGGCATCAGTTCCTGCCTTGGCTTCTCTCAGTGAACTGTGTCTGTCCTAGGACATGTAAGCCAAGCAAACCCCTTCAACTCCAAGTTGCTTTTGGTCATGATTATCACAGCAATGCAGTGTCTACGTTCCAATAACCCTAAAGGCAAGAGCAGTGGAGTTGGCAATATGAACACATCAAAGAAGAGCTGTAGTGATTTCTTTAAACAAAAAAGTAAAAAACTTTTGAGTGACAGAATACATTTATATAACTTTTACTAAAATATACTGTCATAACTCTCTCATCCTACTATTTCTGTGGTTAATTTACATGGTAATGTTTTATCATAGGTTGGATGTCCAAGAAAAATCATGGCATATCCATAGTTTTGAGTATTCTCTGCGATTCTTTGAAGAGATCTCTTTTGGACGGGGGGGGGGCCGAGGGGGGGAGACATACTACTATAGTGATACGTATGTCTTCAACAAAGCTAAATTTTCCTATTAAATATAAGAGTTCAAAATAAATAAAATGTATAACCATACAGAAACAAATATATCAAATTCCATTCCTCTGGCAAAAAAAAATGTACCTAGCAGTAGGGCTATGTGTTCTGTGTCTTTTAAAAGGAGCCCAGAGAGTCTTTTTGCCATCTTTCTATAGGTGTAAGGACTGTTAGCTACCAAGACCATTATGAGGCATTCTTATACTGGGGCTTTTGAGTTTTGCTCACTAAGAGTTAACAGTTATTTCTGTTATGGTCCCACATGGGCTCGTATGTTTGTATACTTAGTCTCTGCATGGTGGTACTGCATTGGGAGGTTAAAGAACTCTGGGACCTGTGGTCCACGAGAGGTGTTACACAGGGGTCTGAAGTTGTGACTATTTCCAGCTTTGGCTCTCTGCTTTTGGATCTACTATGATATAAGGAGCAGCAGCCACATGCTCACACTGTTATGAATGGCATCCTGACTTTGCTGACCTGATAAACTGTGCCCTTTAAAGCCATAAGCCAATGCAAAGCTCTCCCTTGAGTTGTCTGGAAGGTATGGTCAAAGTAATAAGGGAAGTAACTACCATGGTTTCAGGTTTGAAACCGGATCAAAACAACAAGTTAAAAGTACAGAATAGCTTTACTCCCAGTACTTGGGAGGTAGAGGCAGGCCAATTTTGAGTTCAAGGACAGCTTGGTCTACATAATAGGTTACAGGCTACCTGGAGCTCCAACAACAAACAGACAAAAGGGAAAAGTGGAAATAAGGAATTTATTCAGACACAACACAGAATAATCTTCAAAAATTTTTGAGTGAAAGCATACTAGGCACAGAATATATGCACATGCTATGATTTACCTAGCTATGGGTATCTGGTTAATACTGGCCTCATAAAGTGAGTTGCAAAGTATTACCTCAGTCACTACTTTATGAAAGGTTTGTATTCAATTTATGTTATTTGTTCCTTAAATATCTAATAGAGTTTGTAATCTCAGCACTTGGGGTGTTGAGTCAGGAGAATCGGGAGTTTGAGGCTAATCTGGACTACAAAGTGAAGCCCTGTCTTGACAAACCAAGGGGGGTTGGATAAGAGAAGAAAGGAAGAAAGAGAGGCAGGGAGAGAGAAAGGAGGAAGAAGAGGAGGAAAGAACACAAAAGTCAAGCCAACATAGATGTAATTAAATTAGAAACCTTGCATCCGGTTGTTAGTTCTTCAGCAGATCCAGAGCTATTCTGACTTTACTGGCTATCTGTAGTAGCTCTTTTTATTCTTTCACTTACTTAGAAAAACATAAATTCCTCTTTTAGTTTTAAAACTGAACACTTTAAACACCTCTTGTATTGTTCTGTGATCCAGAAATCTCTATAACTCTACTGTAATGAATATTACATGCAAGACAGAAAATGGATGCATATAACAAACAGTTCCTGGTGAGGGTGTGCCTTACCAACAGCTTTTCCTGTTTGTACCACATTCCGGCTGGTTGTGACCATGACACTGCCAATTTTTTTGCCACGTTCACTGTTCTGAACAGAACTAAGAAAAGAAATAAAATTTTTAAAAATCTCAAACATTTGAGAACACCTACAACCAAACTACTCTATTATCATCCCAAATTAGTATTGAGAAAATAAAAAGCAAAAGTATCATGAATAAATACTTGAATGTACTTGAAAGAACACAGAAATTAGCTGAGGTGAGGACAGAAAGATTTATGGCTAAATATCCTTGACATACATGGTTTCTGAGAGGATATCATCAAAATAAGAATAGCAAGACCTGATATTATTTCATACTATTGTGTATGGACAGAGCTTCCATTCTGAAATACATGCTGTTGAGCTACAGAATGTTATACACACTGGCTTACTGTTTAGAACACTATCAAGTAAACAAAATACCCAATTGGCAACATATAGCATATACTTAGAATAATTCCCCCTTATTTTCTCTAAGTACTCACTGTGAGAATCTGAGTTTCATGTCTGACACCGAGTACTGGCCTTGGAAAGGATGGCTGTAAAACAAAGCTTACGTTTATATTATGAATACATCAATAATGCTGCAAAGAGCAGTCACATGAACTGATAGTACACCTTTTGGGAGACACAAGTGGACACAGTACTCTGAAACTGACAGGAGGCCCTGTGCATCATTCCGAATATGAACTCTCCAAGTCACTCAACAGTTTTGAGTTCTACCTTCTTTCCTTGTACAATGGATCAATGTGGCTAGAAGTGTGAAGTGGGGGACGGAAGTGCTACCACTACTCTTACATAGGAATTACTTCATCTGGGGTAGGGACCAAGCATCATCCCATCTTAAAAATACATCAGGAAATTAGGTGAGTAGCTAATTAAGGCCACCATCACGACCTTGATCCTGGTCACCCTGTAAATATGTGTCATTGGCTATGAAAAAAAATTTTTTTTAATTTGGTTTTTTGAGACAGGGTTTCTCTGTATAGCCCTGGCTGTCCTGGAACTCACTCTGTAGACCAGGCTGGCCTCGAACTCAGAAATCCGCCTGCCTCTGCCTCCCAAGTGCTGGGGTTAAAGGTGTGTGCCACCACTGCCCGGCTGGTTATGAAAGTTTGCCAGTGAATCAGCAAAATCTGTAGTTTATTAGAAAAGCAACTCAAAATGCAGAACTTAAAGTGACACTGTAGTTTTGTGAGAATTTCTGCCACACCAAAGGAAAAACATTTTATTGAAACCAAAACCAAACCAAACCCAGGACTTAAGCCCAGGTAAGACTGGAGGAGCCCAATAACCAATTCTTGTCTTACACTCAAGGTCACTCTGTGATACAGAGAAAGAGACATTCACAGCTACTTTTACAAAATGCTATAGTTTTGTTAAATGACAGCAAAGTGCTCTGGGTCAAAGACAGCATATAAAACAGTTCTTCCTTCTACAGATCACAAACTAACCTAACAAATCATATGCACATGCTGTACTTGAAGCTGCCTAACATGTTCAAAGCCCCAAGTTCAGTAGCAAACCCTGCGATATCACAAAAACATCCCTAATCAGTCGTTTTTCCTATTCCTAAGACGTGTCTGATGCTTGGTGAGTTAAGAGGATTCCTCTTTAGAAGCTAAAAAAGTATCAGGTAGATTTCAAGGTAATTAGTTTGGAATGTTTCAAATTACACTTCCTGAAAATTAATGAAGACTATTTTTTTTCATTTATTTTGAATATGGTGAAAATGTTTAAAATCTACTGACTATCATGACTCCCTAATTACTACTCTATTGGGCCTCTTCATCTTTGATCTTCTCTCTTTTTTCTTTTAAAAATGTAAAAACAAGTATCTTTTTTCTATATGTACTTTTATAATTTTTTTTTGAAATTAAAATGTAATTGCATTGTTTTTCCTCCTCTCTTTCTTCCCTCCAACCCTTACAATGTAAATCACCACCTCGCTCTCTCAAGTTCATGGCCTCTATTTTTTTAATTGTTGTTACACACACACACACACACACACACACACACACACACACACACACACCTTACCAGTCTGTATAATGTATAATGCTAACTGTATGTATATGATTTCAGGGCTGACCATATTTTGGGGGCTCTTCCCTGGGGAGATTTTTTTCTCCTGCTTCCTCCATACTCTGCATTCCTTGGTCTGAGTGAAGCCAAATGAGATTTCTTCCTTTCATGTTAGCATATCTACTGGTGTCCTCTTTGTTTATTTTTGAAGGTAACTCTCCAACATTAGCCTGAGTGTGGGATTACAATTACAGGCATGTGCTATCACACCTAGTTATGAGTGCTTTCCAGTCTGCTTTTGAACCCCTATAACCTTAGTTTCTTTTTTTATTGGATACTTTATTTATTTACAATACAGATGTCATCCCCTTTCCCCATTTCTCCTCCCTAGAACTTCCATCCCATCCCCCCCTCCTTTATGCTTTTATACCATTTTGATTACAAGCATGTAGTAAGGTCAGTTCTAGGCTGAGGGTCTAGCAATACAATAGATGCAAATAGTCAAGGAACAAACAAGACAATAAACACAAATAGTCAAAGAAAAAGCAAGGCACTAAACCCAATTAGGTGAACACATCTGTGATCACTGTTTCTAAAGGCTTATCAGGATGACCAAAGTATCTGAGTTAACTTCCCTGTCCTAGCCCAGGGTCATTTTCATGTCTGAAGACTACTTCTTTATTCTAGCCTAGGATTTAGATTCCTACCTGAAATTACTTCTTTGTTCTAGCCTAATGTCAGATTCCTGCCTGAAGCCTACTTCCTAGTCTATGGAACTTTAAAACAATATCTTCATAAAATAAAAAAGGGGGAGATATACCCCTGTACACCACAAATTTATTTAAATCATATTCTTTTTATTTTAAAGTTTTGTTTTTTTTGTTTTTTTTTTTTTTTAATTTGGATGCCAAGGAACTTTCTGCTGACTGCCTATGGCGCTCTACAATTAGGCATACTTATGCATAGGTGAAAGGGAAGGATCCACTTACTGGCATAAGGCATGATCCTGATCAGGTATTAATTATGGGGAAGAGGGCATGTTTGTGTTTTTTCTGCAGGATGCTGAAGGAGCATGGTGGCTGCCAGAGTGATGGGTGAGACATGCTGATGCCAGGACAAAGTATGATGCTGACTGTGAGCTTGCTGAGTACCCTGACAATGGTGACTGGGAAGCTGTATTGGACATAAGTTCCCAACCCACCATTGCTTACCTATACATGGGACAAGCTGCCTTACCTCAAGTTCTTAGACCTTGTGGAACAGAGAGTCAAAAAGAGAAGTTATAATGCCCCTTAGTTTCTTTACACATGTTTTGGTACCTTTTTTTAAAAAGCCCAGTCTAGCTAAACCTATGTAACCATTAAGATCTGCAGAGCTGGTTCAGGTTAATAGAATCAGGCTCAACGATTGAGACAGCTCACATACTGGATAGCTGACTTATTAGGGTTACCCAGCTTGTAACCCTGGCAAACCAGCTCACATACCTGTTTCCCTCCTTACGCTTTAGTACCCAGACCTTGTAACTGGTGAGGTAGACTACTTTGAACTCTTATTTCATTCACTTAATAGCACTAAACGTAGTCTACTTTTTAATTGTTTTTAATATATTCAGATAGCAATATAGGTTTTGCTGTAGCCAAAAAATTTACTGAAGTTAGAGTTGAACCTACTCATTTTCTTTGAGCGATAATATAAAGATAATAACAGACTTGTCCACCAAAATGTTTTGAAACCATGTTCCCTACCAAATGCATCTAGAAGTTTATATTGTTTAATCTGTATGTCAGAAAGTGTGTGTGTTGTCCTTTTTTTTTTTTGGTTTTTCGAGACAGGGTTTCTCTGTGTAGCCCTGGCTAACTCACTTGATAGACCAGGGTGGCCTTGAACTCAGAAATCCGCCTGCCTCTGCCTCCCAAGTGCTGGGATTAAAGGTGGTGTTGTTATTTTCTAGCATCACTTAAATCACATTTCTGCTTTAGCTAAAAGCAATTAACGATAGCTCCCACATAGCATAGTGTTGAATACAAAGTTGATTTTGTCCATTTCCCTCCATGAAATAGAAGTTCAAAGTACAATGAAAATAGCCAAATTATGCTTGTATCATTAAAAATAGTATTTAAACCAGGAGTGGTAGTAAACAACCTTTAATCCAAGCACTGGGAAGGCAGAGGCAGAGGCAGGTGGTTCTTTGTTTGAGGCCAGCATGATCTACACAGTGAGTTCCAGCTTAGGCAGGGGCTACAGAGTAAGATTGTCTCAATAACAAAAAGGCTCTCTTTGTAAAGCAACCATTTTCCATCCTATCAAGTCCAGAGGACATACTTACTTTGGATTTATCTCTGAGAGTGCTGGATGCTTATTGCTGTTCCATACCCTGTAGTTGTGAGTATTCTTCCAGGCGGCAACAAAAGTGGTTCCATAGTCTGACAACATCTTTTCATTATCTGCCAAGAAAATGGTTGAAGAAAGTTAAGCTGGATCACGGCCAACGGGGCATGAAGATTAGTTTAGTAACTATAAAGGGTGAAAGTCCCTTTATGGTTTTAAGTCCCACACCCACATTGTGGGGACATACAGATGTAAGCAGATTTGGCTCTAGTTCCAGAAACCCTGTTAAGAAGCTTTGAAGCCCTTGGCAAGTCACTTAATCACTCAGAACTTCATTTTCTTAACTGAGAAATAAGAGGACTGAGCCAAACATTGCCGAGGGCTCTTTACAACGCCAAAATGTTTCCATGTTTTCCTTACAAGGATCATATTATTTACTAAACAAAAACTACAGACATGACAGTGAGCAGATATACTGGCCTAAGTATATGGTGAGGCAGTTAGAATCTCTTCCCAAATGTTAAAAGAGGTTAAGCACAGCAAGTATACGACTTCTTTTACCCATGTTTCCTTTGTTTGGACTTTGTCTCAGCATTTGGTGCTTCATTCTTGAATTACTGAAGCACTGTACTGTCAAAAATACTTAAAACATAGGATTTCACATTACTGATAAGTAGTAGCTCTTGGCTATATTGATACCATGGGGAAATGTCAACGAACATTTCTTTTGCTTGGAAGGACAGAATAGCTCTGGAGAACTGATTCAAGTAGTTACTGTCTCACATTTACCACACATGAAGGTTTGCTATTTTGTTTTTGTCACAAGGTCTTGCTATGCACTCAGGCTGGTTTTGAACTCTAGTGACCCTTCTGTCTTGGCTTTCTTCTGTCCAGGCAGATGGTATCTGAGGTGTGTGCTACCATGTCTGGCTATGTTGTTTGCTTTTAAGGTGAAATGCCAGTAGCTTTTTGTTGCTAGGAAAGGACTAGGAGACACACAGTTCCATTTACAGCATAAAGGTAAGCTACCCCACAATATTTCTGCATCTCAACCTCCTCTGCTGATCATACATAAGAACGGGCTTTTGAACCCAACGGCTGAAGCCGCTCAACCAGACGGATGACCAAGTTACACAGTATTGTTTCCCGTCTTCTGGAAATTGTAATTTCTGGGATTACTGTTAAGGCCAAAATTAGTAACTAGCTGTAAAATGTTCAGAACACACCTTGCGTGTATTAATTTTCTTAATTTTAAAAAAGTTGAATGCTGGACAATTATGGCACATGCTTTTAATCCCAGTACTTGGGAGGCAGAGGCAAGCAGATCTCGGAGTCTGAGGCCAGCCTGGTTTACAAAGTGAGTTCCACAACAGCCAGGGCTACACAGAAAAATCCTGTCTTGAAAACAAACAGAACAGTAATTATTCATGAGACCAAATAACTAGTAGATATCTGGCCTTCTTTTTAAGATTAGTAAGTAAGTTTGGGTTACAAGATTTAATTTTGCTGCTTCTGCTGCTATATTTGTAGAGATGATGTACATTCAAAAATATCCAACAAGAAAGTAAGGACTTGACCACTACTGATTCTTTATAATGAGGAACATCCCTGGAATCTAGACTTAAGGCTACGCCTGCAGGTGAAAATGACAATAATGATTTAAAAAACAAAAAACAAGCCTGCTGACACCAGAATGCAGGCAAGCCGCACGATTCTGCAGACATGCACTTTCACAGGCTAGTAAAGGAAAGCTAATGGCATACTGTACAGATTTCACAGCTAGTTTTTTTTAAAAAGCAGTGTAATTTTCAGTAATGACAACCAAAAAATATTCTGAAATCTATTTTTGCTACAAGATTACAAGTATTTGCCAGAGTTCCAAGGTAGAAATGCTTACTGCAAAGCTCCACTTCTAGTTAATATTGTTTTCTAAGTAGAATGAACTTTTAATGTATTTTCACCTGCCCCATTTTAACCATTTAACAGGAAAAATAATATTTTTTAGAATGGGATAAAACTTTGAAAGTCTAATCACTCAGAATATAATTTGCAATGATTCCTTTAATTTTTTTTAATAACTTGAAAATAGGTAAGCAGAATTTATAAGGTTACCAAATACTGACATTTCCTTTGATACAAAGTAATCAGCAGCCAAGTTGAAGTGAAAACAATCAGTACTGTCTTAACATTTTTATAATAAAGAAAAGAGTAATGGTCAGACAACATGCTCAAAATAGACTCACTTTTGTAAAGACTACCCCAAGCCATAAAATCAAAGTCTAAAACATTTGTAAAGAAAAAGGTTTGGAAGGATATAAAGCACTCAAAATGTCAAAGAGTCATTATCTCCATATGGGTACCAGTGATTTTCTAACTATGAATACCTATTTCTTATGCAACTGAAAACATCCATAAATACCAGAACATGAAGGTTTACAGAAGAATTGTGGCTGAGTGCTTCTTACCTAACTGCAGTGTAGCAGCCAGCAGAGCATGGATGTAGACAGCAAACTGGGCCCGGATCCATTCGTCACCTCCTTCCCAGCCTGTGCCATCCAGGAAGACGTCATCCCGGTTCTCAGTCACGTGCCTCACCAGGTAATCTGCGAACCTCAGGTCTGCAGTCGTCGGGTTAAGCAGCTTCCTAAGTTCTGGATCATGGATCTGGATCAGGGCTTCTTCTACCTAGAAGAGTACCCAGGTACAAGTCAGAGTTGGGACAGAAGATATCCATGCCACATTATGAAAAAATACTGGGGAATTAGAACTGGAAATAAAAATATGAGTAACAAGATTCTCAAAAATTTTTCCGTTTTGAGGGCATGCATGAATCTAAGAAAGAGGCAGCCTAATACACTGAGGTTTCTATATACTTTCTCTTTTTATGGAAAAGAGTGCCTTTTCTAATTTTAGAAATTAAGGTAGAGGAGGACAGCTGACTTAGTGGTTAAGAGCATGTGCTACTCTTGGAGATGATGTGCATCTGCTTCACAGCCTCACATAGTTGCTTATATCCACTCAGTCCCAGGGGATCTGGCACCCTCCTCTCACCTCCATGGTCACCGAGTGTACACACAGTACACGCACATATATGCATGCAGGCAAAATAAGCAGACATATAAGTAAGTCTTAAGAAAAGACTTACAGAAAGTATATGTGCAACTAAAAACATGACTTTGAACTGCATAAAAGTAATTCATGTTTTAAAATCTTTGACAGTATAATCGCTTTGGAAAATATAGATATATATACAATAAAACTTGCCCTTATACTAACAGGAAAAAGAATAAGCTTAGTTACAATTCCTCCAAATTTTTCCATTTTGAGGGCATGCATACTTTGAAATATTTGTAATACTATATATATATACATATACATGCTATATAGTCTGTATATATACATACTGACATACCTAGCTGGCAAGGGTTTGTTTTGTTCTTTAGCTGCTAGTGATTAAACTTAGGCCTTTACACATACTTAGCAACTGCTTTACAAGTCAACTCACCCCCAAAGGTTAGTTTTGGAGTGAATTAATAAAACATCTATCAATCAACTCTGAATGTGAAAGCACTATGCTTCTCTCACCCGTACCCTCCTATCTGGTATATAAAGTCTTCCCCTCACTTATATTTGGGATAATAATAAATCTGTCAATAATCATAAAAACCTGAGTGCAGCTAAAAAAAATCCCAACATTTTTCAATTGTGAAATTAAATAAATAATTAAAAAATTTAAAAGTATTGATACAGTACTGAACAATTGCTATGAAGTTCTTTAACATCAGGAATATACTAAGCAGGGTATGTGTTTAAATTATTCTGATGAGACCATGATAGGCCTGGTTTGCTCAGGCTGGACTCCTTAGTCAAGCATTTATCAGTTGTTTGATAATGTGACAGTCACTTAACTTGTGTCCCTCAGCTTATGTATGTGCAAAACGTAGATAGTACCTATCTTATAGGGCTGTTAGGAAAATCAAATCAGCTAATATATATAAGGTGGGCATAGAGAGGTATACCTTTAATCCCAATACTTGGGAGGAAGAGGCAGTTGGATCTCCAAGTTCAAGACTAGCCTTGTCTACAAAGTAAGTTCCAGGACAGTCAGGGCTATATAGAGACCCTGTCTTAAAAATAAAACAAAACCAAAACCAAAAACCCAAACAAATATATATTTTTTTGTATAAAATTATTTTTATAATATATAATTATTATATATATATAATTAAAATATATAAAATATATATAATTAAAATGACTAGAAATCAGTAAATATTTTTCTTATTAATGCTGTTACAATAGGTTCATAATTATATTTAGGAAAGGAATAGTGAACCAGCAGGCCAAGTTCATATACTCAGACATAAACATACTTCCACAATGGCATCACTGAGGTGCTTCTGTTGTCGAAAAAGGATGTTAGTAGCTCCAGCCACAAATCCCCGAACAGTGACATCAGAGAGGAGATGATGCTGCTGCAATGCCATGTAAGGCAAACACAGATATCCCTACGGATTACAAGAGCAATAGAAAACAACAGAAACGTGAAAAAAAAAAAAAACAACAGCTACACCGCTTTTCATGAAAGAAATGTCCATTCTTCCCTGCCAGCTCATTTAATCTGACTCATTAAAATAACATTCACAGAGCAATGTCTTGCCTTGACTGCAGTCAGTGGTTAGCTAATTTTCTTCACAAACGGTCAAACCTCTGCAAGGCTATCTTACTTAACCCCTTCACTCTTGGTCCAATTTAAAGTCTGACTTCCTTTTAATTTAAGGAATTAAACATATTACATCCATTAAGAAGTATGTTGTCTAATAGCAAGCCGTTAAGAACATTAAAGCATGTATCTTCACATAGCCACCAATGTGCAATAAGAACAGTTAAGCATCCAGTTTACTGTCCAGTTGTCTTAACAGGATGCAAAAATATGTCAGAATATTTGCCTCAAATTAGTTAAAGCAAAAGTTATATTGGCAGTATCCGTTTAATTTCCATTTGAAAAAGTACTGCCTTAAAATTATAGTTGAATCACTAATCCTCAATAGGCATTTAAGTCTGCAAACCAATCAACCAAAAGCAAGACCAACCCTGCCCAATTCCCAGAATTAAGGGTGTGGTCAGTGGTAATGATTTGTGCATAAAGGCTGGATCTCTGATCCTGTTTGTAGCCTCAGGTCATACATAAACCATCACATGTATTGAAAACCTAATCTGATTCAGAATCTTTCAGCAAAGTTTCTATTTTCCTGTGAATATTTCAACTGGGCTTCTTACAAAGAACCTTGTCTCGAAAAATTACACATACCCTTTACCTAAATTTATCCTAGAGAGACATGCCTGCTCATCTGTTAGCATATTTTTAAATTATTTAACATAGCACTTTTTAATCATCAACAGGATTTATAACTTCATGAAAACTGGAGTAGATACATTTCTAGCCATATAATGGAACATTCTAAAACTATAAAAAGTGGTGAAGTTCAATTCTCAGAAATGTAAATGTGATCAAGGGGTAGAAAAGGACGGGCACAGACTGATATCATTTGTGTAAAAGGGGAAGGGAAACATCCGTATTTATTACCAGAAGGAAATACAACATTGGCAATAGTCACAGCTATCAGAGAAGGCAGATGGGTAGAAGAGATGGATACATTTCTTTTTGGTCCTAGGAGTTGAATCCAGTGTTGTGTGTATGCTAGGCATGCATCCTACATCCTCAGTCCACAGAAAATCTTATTACAGGTGCTTTGGACCTTTTTACTACTGAACTATGTGGAGATACTACATATTGATACGACTGTTCAAACTAGCTTTAATATGGTGTCATTATTTTTCTTTTCATGACATTCAAGTTAGGTAAAATGTCTGGAGGTGCTGGAATATGATTACAGAAGAATATAGGTCTGTTTCCAAAAAAAGCAGATTTCATATCCAGACCTATTCCTGGCTTCCCACTTATCTAAGACAACTCAACATCCATAATTAGAATGGCACCATATACTAAAAGAACAAGACAAGAAACAATTATCAGTGTATGATAAACATACACTAATACACGAATTACAAAAATAAATATTATAAGCAAACACCATTGAGATATTTGCATATCAATATTCTCAGTATTTATACTAGCCAAAAGTTAGAGGCAATGATCAGCTGATGCATGAATTAATAAAAAGTAGGGTAGAGTATAATGGAATATTATTCATCTCCCCTTCTCTCTCTCTTTCCTTTCTCTCTCTCTCTCTCTCTCTCTCTCTCTCTCTCTCTCTCTCTCTCTCTTTTTTTGGTTTTTTTCGAGACAGGGTTTCTCTGTGCAGCCCTGGCTGTCCTGGAACTCACTCTGTAGACCAGGCTGGCCTCAAACTCAGAAATCCTCCTGCCTCTGCCTCCCAAGTGCTAGGATCAAAGGCGTGCGCCACTAATTCCCCGGCTCATCTCCTCTTCAAATATCCAAATACTAAAAAAATTCTAAATATTTAGTTACAAGTTGAGAAGTTATGTGGCTTTTTATTTTCTGAGATACGATCCTGCTATGTATCTTCAGCTGGCCTCAACTCAGGATCCTCATGCCTCAGCTACCAAAGTGTGAGGTCACAGTCATGTGACACCATACATGGCTGGGATAATTAAATTTCACAATTTAAAATGCCTTGTTTTAAACTGGCATACAGAAATTAAAACAAAGTAACTTCTAATCATAGTTCTTATGATACATCAACTAATTTTATTTACTAAAAGACTTGTGATTGGAGAGGAAAGCTGACACAGGAAATTAAACAGAAAAGGACCCCAGTCCTTTCTAGACATTCCAACACTTAACTATGCCAGCGTGTGCCCAACTCCAGTACTAAATCAGGAGGAAATGGAAGGAAGGCCCTAATACTGGACTTCCACACCCCAAATGCTATTCTGTCTCTGTCAGTTTATCTCACTCCATCCCCCCTTTCAGTGTTCTTCTGCTCATTCGTTTGCACAGCAGCAGGGCATGAGGACACAGGCATGATTTGTTTGAAGTTTTTCTATTTCTCTTGGTCTGCTGGACAGATGAGTCTAGACTCATCATTTCCTTAGCCCTTCTATTACTTCTTTAAAAAAAAAAAGATTTATTTTATATATGAGTACACTGTTGCTGGCTTCAAACATACTAGAGGAAGGCATCAGATCCTATTACAGATGGTTGTAAGCTAGCATGTGGTTGCTGGGAATTGAACTCGGGACCTCTGGAAGAGCTCTTAAGTCAGTGCTCTTAACCATTGAGCCATCTCTCAGCCCCTTCTGTGTATTGCTTAAATAAGCTCTCAGAAAAAGGTTATACAAATTATTTAACAATTTGATACAACCTCTAGTGCTTACATAGTAAACCTGGTCTGTAAGGCTGATATGACATTATTCTCATCCAAGTTCAAATACTAAGAGCTGGGAAATTGGCTACAAGGTTGAGAGTACAGAGTGAAGCTGGGAGGCGGTGGCACATGCTTTTAATCCCAACACTTGAGAGGCAGAGGCAGGAGGACCTCTGGATTAGAGGCCAGCTTGGTCTTCAAATAGAGTTCCAGGAGAGCCAGGGCTACACACACATAGACACACACACACACACAGAGGGCGGGGGAGAGACAGGGAGAGAGAGAAAACCTTCTCAAAACAAAACAAAAGCAAAAACAGAACACAGGCTATTAGCTACACCCACATGGTAGCCCATAACCTTCTGTCACCTGAGCTCCTGGGAATCTAATACCCTCTTCTGACCTGAGCAGGCACTGTATGCATACATATATATATATACAGGCAAAACTTTATACATATAAGATAAAAATGAATAATAAAGTAAAAGAACCCCAAGAGGAAAACAGCTTAAAGACAATTTGGTTTTTAAAATATCTCATCTTCCAAAGTTACTGACCCAAAGGATCAGTATTTGTAGTTAGAAATGTGATTAAACAACACACTGGGTTTTACTCAACACACAATAAAAGATGAAACCAAGAGGAAAAATGACTTATTTATCATAGTAACAGTGGTAAGGCTATCACATATTTAGAACTGGCATAAAGCACATAAATCTAACAGCTAACATGGTTTATTGAAAAGATTCAGATCACTTTGAGTAACCTGACTCTCAAAACCAAAATTCTTCTTCAGTCCATTTGCCTCCTGATAAGTGCTCTTAGAGATGCAGAAATAATGGCAGTTAAAGAAAGTTTACAATTTGGGGTTGGAAGGATGGCTCAAATGCTAACAGCACCTGATGCTTTGCAGAGGACCTGGGTCTAGTCGTACACTAACGGTAGGTCCCAAATGTCTGTCTCTCCACTTTCCAGACATCTAATATTCCTTGCACACTAGGTACACATGGCATATGTATATGTATTTTCTTAGTTAGGGTTTTTATTGTTGTGATAATATACCATGACCAAAAGCAAACTGGGAAAGAAGGGGTCTATTTCACCTTACAACTCTCAGGTCACATCCATCACTGAATGAAATTAGAGCAGAAATCATGGAGGAATGTTACTACTAGCTTATTTCCCATGGCTTGCTCTTTAAACAACTCAAAACCACCTGTCCAGGGATGGCACCAACCATCATGGGCTGGCCCTCCCACATCAACATTTGATCAAAAAAAATGCCCTACAGACTTGCCCATGGCCAGTCTTATGGAGGCATTTTCTCAATTAAGATTTCCTCTTCCCAGGTATGTCAGGATTCATTTAACCCCTTGTCAACTTCACACAAACACGCCACTTATTAATCATAACCTTTCCTTTCTTGTTCATCCCCCAAGATCTCATATTAATAATCACAATATAAACACAATAATTTTAAAAGTTCTTTAGTCTTTAAAATATTTCAATACTTTAAAAGTCCAGGTTTTCTTGAAAAGTCCAAGATCTTTATCTAACAGCATTATCCATTATATATTTCTCAGTTTTCAAGGAGAATTTTCAGGCTTGAAAATGTGTTCAAACACATAAAATTACAACTAATGTCCTCAATAAAGGATACTCCAATTTTACCTTTGTAAAGATGGCCAGAGGCATGCCATATTGGTCTTCTTCCAAACCAGAAATGAGCCCTGGTATCAGGACCACCTGCCTGGTATTAGCTTGAGGCTGTACAGTAATTGGAGGACTGTCTGAGGGCACAGAGTCCTTTTGGAATAAGTGTGCCTGGTCTGACCCCATCTGTTCCCTTTCTTTCAAGTTGGCATCCTCTAAGACACTAGGATCCAAAGTTTCCCAGTCACTTTCTGAAGACTCTGGAGATGGACGAGGTGGAAGTTCCAAATATCGGCCAGTATCACTGTGTTCTTGTCCTTTGTTGTTGTTACCTTCTACTTGGAAGTAGGGCTTCTCTGTCTGGGGAACAGCATCTTCTCCATGGTTTTCTGCCCTGATTCTTGTGACAGTTCCCAAGTTGGTATTTAAAATGTCAGAAGTAGACTCAGAAATAAAATCATCTGCAGACGGATTACATTCCTGAAGTCCAGCATCTTCAGACATACTCTTTCGGGGTCTATATTGAGAACAGTCACTGAGGCCATGCTCAATCATGCCTAAAATAATAAAATATTGAACAGCTTGGCTTATAGTAATATGGAAGAAAATAAGGTATAGTTTCATTTTATAAAGTAGAAATTTTCTATAAAAAAATTTTTAAAAGCTATATTTGCATCTTTTAAAATGAAATTTCTATTAAAAAAGGAAAAACTGGGAAAGTTAGTTGTGATAGCACACAAATTAATCTCAGCACTTGAGAGGCAGAGGCAGCAGTTCTCTGAGTTTGAAGCTAGCCTGGTCTACAAAGTGAGTTATGACAGCCAGGGCTGCACAGAGAAACCGTATCTTGAAAAGAACAAAACAAAGCAAGCAAGCAAGCAAGGAAGCAAACAAACAAACAAAAAAAAACAAAAAGGAAAGATGGGAGCTGGCAAGAAGGGTGAGGGTGCTTGTTGCCAAGCCAAGCCTGACGACCCAGGCTGAATACCTCAATACACAATGGAGGTACACTCACACAGGTTGTCTCTGACCACCAGCATGCCATGGCTTACAGCACCTCCCCAAAATGTTAAAATTAAAATAAGGAAGAAAAAAAAAAAAACAGGCTAAAGGAAAAAGAACCTATTGCCAAAAGGAAAATTAAAATGGAAATGTTAACTCTAATGAGTTTACTATTTGTGTACTTTTCTTATTGAAAAGTCAAAAAATTAACATTAAGCAAAAGTAGCAAAGGCTATCCTCTTACCTGGAAAAAGGGATAACACGGTCATTAGTGCGCCCACCAATCTATTCACTGGAGAAATGTAAAATAGAACCTGAAATGGATTCAAATGAAATTAAATTAGAAAAGTCACAAGGCAGTAAGTAATACTATATAAGGGAAGGATTCTTTGCCTAAGAATAATACTGTAAAAAGTCCATGAACAGATACACAGCTTAGTCTTCATGTGGAACCCCTAAAGCTGGAGCAGAGTTGTCTCTGACTCTGTGACCTGCCTTTGGATCCTTCCCCCATCTAGCTGCCTCCTACAGCCTCAACAGAAGATGCACCTAGTCCTGCTGCAATTTAATATGCCATGGTGGATTGATATCCATGGGAAAGACTGGGAGTAAGAGAAGAAGCAGCTGCTATCAGGATGCAAAGCAAATACATACATACATACATACATACATACATACATACATACATACAACATGAAAAATAATTAGTAGATTTGTAAATGACACCCCTAAAAATGACAAATATAACAATTTGGGTGATTTGAGGACCCCTTCCACAAAACAAAAACAAAAAACCCATGAGTCATGATTTAAAACAACAACCACAACAAAAATCAACTACCCACCACAATTCAGATAAAATTTGCCAATGAGGCCAAGGATAAAAGTGCCACCAAGCTGGATGACCTCATTTTAATCTGTGTGTCCTACATGGTAGAAGAAGAAAAACTACCTGCAAAAGTTGTTCTCTGACATATACATGTACATGTACATATATATCCTTGGTGACTGTGGGAATGCAAACACACACACACACACACACACACACACACACACTGAATTAACTAACCAGACTTTTGGTCTGGTTAATTTCGTGATTTTTAAAAAATTTTTTTCAAGTTCTTTATAACAAGCTTTCAATAAATAAAAAAAAAAATATAACTTAGAAAATACTACCAACTAAATGACCATGGTAGATTGTTGGGAATAGAATAGTCACAACATTTTAGATTCATTGTCCCACAAATTATTGGTTACGGTAGTTTGTCAACTTAACCAAATGGTCAAAATTCTTATTACCAAGAACCATACAGTTGTGTCACATTCTGAGGTCATATCATCATTGATCTAGCATCTTGCTAAAAATGTTTAAAATTAAAGTAACCACAAGAAAACAATCACACATTTAATTCTGTAATACTCAACTAGAGTCTTTTTTAAAAGTGCCAATCACACCTGCTTCAACACCACAGATACTAAAATTGGAACTATACAGTGAAATGGCCCCTTGCAAAGATGACATATGAATTCATGAAGCATTCCATAATTTAAAAAAGTGTCAAACATGAGGACTGAAGTTCAGGTTCCAATGTCCCCGCATAACAAACTTGTAAATAGAGCTTCAAGGTGGGCAGAGCCTAGTCAATTGCTGAGGTTTGCTGGTTTCTTGTATATCTGAAGAAATACAAGTCCCAGATCCTGACTCAAAACAAATAGGGTGATTGATAGACAAGGACACCCATTACCCTGTGCTAGCCTCAGCATGCAGGCACAGGTGCTCATACCTGCATATACGTGTATATACACCATAGATACAGTCAATTAAAAAGTCCCAATGTCATGAAATTCAAGAAGAAATGGGGAAAAGCGGCAGAACTGGGAAGACAGTTCAATGGTTAAGAAAGTATACTATTTTAGCAGAAGACCTGAGTTAGGTTCCCAGCACCCACATCAGGTGGTCAAAAAATGCTTATAATTCAGTTCCAGAGGATCCAAAAGATCTCCTGGATTCTGAGCATAGCTGCACTCTCATACACAGATACACACACAGACACATAGTTAAACATAAGATAGACTTTAAAAAGTGAATAAACAGAAGAGTATGAAGTGATAATGGTACAATTTGACTTGGAGTTAGATGTACTATCATTGTGCTATAGAATAATTTGAGATTAGCAGGAACTAGAAATGTAATATAGGATTCTTGACTGGTTCCTAGATGAAAAAGAAAAATTGTCTATATATTTTATCTATAAAGTTAGAGACACCCTCATTTATTATCTTTCTATAAAGACATTAAGAACTCTGCTCCTTACCATTCTTAAGTCTGTAATTTTTATACAAGATAAATTACTAAGAGATTGATGGCATAGGCCATAGATTTCAGAGGAATAGATGCAAAGGCTAAAGCACAACAGAAATAAAATTTAGAGTGTGAAAGTCAGGTAGCCCAGGCTGCTCTGAAACCTGCCACAGTTCTCCTGCCTTAGCCTTCCAAGGGCTGAGATTACAAGCCTGTGATACTATGTCTGGGTTTCTTTTTTCTTTTCTTTTTTTTTAACAGAGCACAAGAATTTTTAAAAATTAAATTTTAGTTTGTGTGTTTTGCCTGCATGAACAATATGTGCTGCTGGGTACTTGCAGAAAAACAGAAGAGAACATCAGATACCCTGGAACTGGAATTATAGATGGTTATGAGCTACCATGTGGATACTGGGAATCAAATCCCGTGACTGTGAAAGAATAGCTAGTGCTCTTAACTGCTGAGTCATCTATGAGCCAGTCCCTATTCCTGGGTTTTTAATCTTTATTTTGTGTCCATTTTTGTAGGTGTTCATGTACACATCTAAGGTGTGTTGAAGCTGGAGTGAGACATCAGGTATCTTTTCCATTTGCTTCTCCCCCTTATTACATTTTAAGACAAAGTCTCTTACTTAAATCTGGAGCTCATAGACTGGCCAGATGGGCTAGCCAGCAAGTAGCAGAGACTTTCAATCTCTATTTCTCCAGTGCAGAGATTACAGGAACATGCTACCATGACAGCTTTTCTTTGCACATGGGCACTGGGGATCTGAACTCAGGTGCTTATGCTTGCATCACATGCACTTTACTGACTGAGCCCCTTCCCCAATCCCTAATATCCTAATTAGAGTAAAACTCCATTCTCCTAAGTCCCCACAATGACACAACACTTGCATTGACAAAAAATTCTCTACTTCGCATGGTGTTATTATAAGTACATTATTTCTAGGCAAATCAAATTAACATAAGGCACTGAAAGAAAAATAAATCAGCTATCAAGGATATTATTATAGCTACAAGTGGTAATGTATGCTTGTAATCCCCGGATTCAGATGTTAGAGGCACCAGGATTATAAGTTTTCAAACAGCCTGGATCACATTAGAGATCATGTCCCATCCCCACCCTCCCACCTCCCCAAAAAAAGGAAAAAAGAAAAAGGAGGTTAAAACATCTAGGAAAACTTGAAAACAGATTGTACGTTATGTTCTACAAACTTATCTCAGAGAATCTTTATTTGTTTATAAAATAGGATCATAGTTAATAGAACACATGGCTGGAGAAATGGCTAAGTGATGAACACTTATTGCTTTTGCAGAAGATCCAGGTTCAGTTCCCAGCACACCCACACAGCAGTTCACAACCTTATATAACTCCAGTTCCAGGGGATCTGATACCTTCTTCTGTCCTCTGGGGGCACTAGGTACACATGTAGTGCATATATACAAATACTGGCAAAACACTCATACTCATTAGGTAAAAATAAATAAACTTAAAAACTGGATCAGATTTGAAAGTTGGATAACTTTTAACTTTTAATGTGCCATGAACCATCTTGACAATAAAAAGTACTTGGGAATTTTTATTGTTTGGAGTTATATGCAACACACAAAATAATTAGCTACTGATTTATAACTCATTTTAAATGACTCTTTCAGGTAGTTTTGCATCCAACTGAGATTAATTGTAAGAAAAACAAAAAACCTCCATTGAAAGAATTACTGGGGCAAAGGAACGACTGGCTTAAGGTAATGAGCCATAATGAACACAGTGCACGGCGGGTCCCTCAACATCCCCTTACCTTAGCTGCACTGAGTACAGTTAATACGGGATAGAAAACTAGTTGTACTTCAGAGTTAGTTTCTTATTAGTCTAAAGCATAATTTCAGCAAGTGTCTGCTATAAAGGGCCAGACACATGTGCTTTGTGAGCCATATAGTCTCATAACTACTCAACTGCTTCTAAAGGGTGAAAACAGTACAAACAATAAGCAAACAGTAGGTATGCCTCTTTTCCAATAAAACTCTTATCATGGCTCAATAGTTAAGAACAGCTGCTGCTCTTGCAAAAGACCTGAGTTCAATTCCTAGCTCTCACATTAGGTACCCTATAACCACAATTAGAGTATCTGACGTCCTGTTTTCGGCTTCTGCAGTAATCTGTAAGCAGATGCATATACCTACACACATACACATAAATTATTATGAAATAAGTCTTAAAAATAACAAACTTCTATAAAAGAAAGTGGTAAGCTAGAATGGGCTATTAGACCTAGTTCATAGACCTGAGGTCCACAATGACCATGGCAATCCCACCTCTTTGTAGTACACAGCGGTCTGGAACCCAAGTTTAAGCCAATTAGTATAGGCAGACTTTTGATAACAAATTGATGGGACAAATTCATATTCAATAGCTTGGGAAGTGACATTATGTCTTAGGAAGCAAATAGCCAAATTATTGTTGGCAGTTTATTATATACAAGAGAGATCAGCTCTGAGTAAAACTAGTTGGACTGACTGTAGGACTAGGAGAAAACCTAACATTGTGATACCCTGGAAGCACCAAGTCAACCACAAACTCTGAAGTCTCAGTGAACCAACACATTTTCTTTTCTATTTAAGTTAGTTTAAGCTTCTTATGGTGACAGTACAATTGAATGTACTATCAAAGTATCTCCAAAAAGAACAGACAAATTTACTATCATGTGTATAATAGCAAAAAAAAAAGAATTTTGTGTTTCATTTGATAGACAAAATATGTCTTAATACTTAATCCTTAATTCCCACATTACAATAGTATATAAAAGTGCCAATAAAAAATAAAAAATCTGTTCTTCCTTTTATCCTTCTGTATCTCACCTTCTTTTCAAGAAGAATTAGCTTAAACAGAATCAAGACCTGCAGAAAGAGAAAGAAATAGTATTTTAAAACAAGAACTCAGATTTATTAATCATTTGCTATTTCTTTTTTCCAAATATAATCATGCATATAATATTAAATAATTATACTTCTTAAGATACATGAGAAACTCTGAACTTGAACTGAGAAATTAAGCATTAGCTATGTCCTCTAAAAATGTGAATCATTTAACCTTTAACTGAAATAATCTTTTTTGGAAGGAATAATATTATCTCTGCTTGAAAATTTTCAAGTTTCTGAAGAAGCAGAGATTTGAGCCTGGGGAATGGCTCAGTTGGTAATGTGCTTGCCTACCATGCATGAGAGCCTGGTGTTCAGATTCCCAGAAACATGTAAATTAGGCATGGTGGTACACACCTGTACCTCAGCACTGGGAGGCAGAGGCAGGAGAGTCACAAATTCAGGGTAATCCTTACCTACACAGTGAGTTCAAGGCTTGTCTGGGATACATGCATTTACATGGATAGTCAATAAAAGTTTGGTAAATAAATGACTCTGTGTGTGTGTGTCCTTGGCAACTTATGCTTTAACAATAAGGACCAGAATTCCTGACACCAAGACCTCAACAAAAGAAAAAGTAATTCATGTAGAAAAATATTCCACTTTCAGGGAAACAGCATTGTTTCTACCCATACTAAGTGAAACTGCAAAGACTGCAGAATAAAGACATTAAAAGCCAGCTCTATTGAGCAAGCGGCACTCCCAGATCTTTACCACACAAACACCCTTGACACCTCTAGCCTTGTATAGCTAAGAAGCTGTCTTAGAAGAGCAAAACCACAATTAAGCCACCAGCTGACTGTGATGCTGCCCACTGAGTTCGCAGGAAAAGGAACACAAGCACAGCCTCTCCCATTTCAGTACATCGAAAGTTGAAGGATATCTATCACACCTTGTGTCGAAAATGAAGGACAAGATCTCGAGGAGACAGACCTACAATGTAAACAGGAGAGCTAAATGTGAAAGAGAGTATCTAAAGAAGCAAATGAGAATGTGTAAATATTCAAACATTTATGTAATATCTGGTGAAAAACATATATACTCAGAAAGAGTATTGTCTAACAGAATCTTCCCCAAGGATGAGATGTTTAAAATACTCCCTATCAGACACTCCCTGTTAGCCATGAGGTCACTGAGCACTTTAAATGTGGCTTTTAAATTTTATGAACTGTAAAATAATTCAGTTATGTCTATACTATTAGTGGATACAGTTTTAGACACTGGGTCTAAGACTTCTTCTTTTTTTTCCCCCCTGAGGGTCTAACACTTCTATTCTACACACATACACCACATAAATGTAAAAATCATAAAGCTTACACCATAACGACAGCCAAGTCTTTTAAATGTGAACTCTGGTCACTGCATTACATATACCACACTATTTCTGAATCACATACCTCTAACATCATAGTAAAAGGAAAACAATTCATAAATACAGTCTCAGAACAGGACTATCTAGCTGGCTTTCTAGGACTGCACTAGTAACCACAACTTGGCTACTGCACATTGAAATGGAAACTGAGGAAATACAATCACCATATCATTACAACTTTTTTTATCACAAAAGAGTATGTATTGACTACCTCAGCTGACAACAGTGTACATTAACAAGCCCCCCCGCCCCAAGTTGAAGAATCTCAGTCAAGAGCTAAGCAGCACCTGTGTCCATTCTATTGGAACTGAGCCGGTCAGCATTAACGGAACAAAGTCTAGTACTATTCTAAAAAGCTGAAACTTGCCTCTGCAATACATGCAAATATCACCACCAGTATAAAATAGTGATCCATCTCAGTATGAATGCTGGGTATTTAAGGAAGCAAACTTAAGAACTTAGATCCCATACAAAGACTGTGAATATTTATTAGCTGTGTAATATTCAATGGAACGCACATGTGCTTAACAGTTCTCTGGCATCAATAGTTACATGCAACTCAGTGTGACAACAGAAAACTTTGAGGACATAGCTTGACCTGCAAGACTTACCAAGGTACACCTGCGATCCTTCTAATGAGGCCCCTCCCAAGGAACTGTTCATATGTTCATAGAGCTCCTGTGGAATGCAGACTGGTTTTAGAACTTTACACTGTCACTTTAGCCACTGAGCTCCTAGAAATATGATGACCAGAAAAGGACTGTGTAGGTTTTTCTGCCACCTACTAAATAAAATAAGCAACCACAGTCTCCAAAACCTGCTAGTTTTCGGCACTCAACTCATTCCTTTTCTTGTAGACGTGAACAATAACAGGGTAGTATCTAAGCAAAAAGAACAAAAAGCTACTCAGGATATTTTCTCTTTTTTTTTCTCCTTTTCCTTCCCCTCTGTCTCTCCACTAAATTCCTAACTGCTCCAACTCTCACCAATCCCCAGGACAGATGGAGAGTGGATACTGATGCCAGTCCTGAGAAAAGTGTTATCTTTTTTCAATAAAATACCAGGAACTAGAAACTAGACTCAAATTTTATAGACACATGCCATAGCAAAACATTACTCCTCCTAAGAGACACTGATAATAGTTGTTTACAGTCACTGCCTCATTAAAGATAGTTTGAATTTAGTACTTGAGTAAATCTACTAGCACTTCAATGTTTAATGCAGATATAGTTTAAATAAAGATTTATTATATATTTAAAAAAATTTTTTATCAACATGCATGTGTATGTCTGAAGAAGTCAAAGAAGAAAGACATCAGATCAGGGATCGAGGTGGTGGTGAGCCATCCAATGTGGACACTAGAAACCAAACTTGGGTCCTCTGTAAGAGCTCTTAAGCACTGAACCATCTCAGGCCCACGCAAATAAATCTTCATGTAATGTTTTTCTTAACCTGTCAGGACTATCCTTCACAGCACTGCCACAAGAGCTATGTCATTCAGCTACCATCTGCCAACGACATCAGCATGGAAATTGGTTACCTTTAGAATAGAGATTTGGGAAAAATCTTTCTCTTCAAAATAGGCATGTGTAATGAGTTGAAGTTTTGCTTGAAGTAAGCCATAAAGAGGCTAAAAAAAAAAAAGAGAAACCATCATTAGGTTGATCATAGTAAAAAACAGCAGCAAACAAATCCCTACAGCTTTTATTTTGAAGATATTAGAGAGGAAAGTTAGGAACTACCAACTGTAGGCCTACATTCAGAAACAGAAGCTGTGATACCACCTCGTCACACTCTGGCAGCAGGTGAGATCTATCTTGGCAAGGTTGCTCCATCTTTCAGCCTGCTTAATTAAATGTCCTTAACCTCTTCATACGACCTCAGCGTCTATGGCTGTGTTAAGGATTAGGTAAAACACTTAGCAGAGCCTTTGACACATAGCAAGAATGTCACCAGCTACTGCATTTCATTCTGCTGTGGTGACATTTAATCATGCTTAAGCAGTCTGGTTCTTATACCAAGTTGAACCCTCATGATGTGATGTATGCTCACATCCTTTCTCATGATCTGTGGGTGGTAGGAGTACCTAGTGTAGGTCTTCTACAGTACTAGTTTGTGTATTTGAACAAAGTTATTCCTCAACTCTTATTTTTCCTACCTAAGATAGATCATATACACCCTTTTATTTACATTTGAGACATTTTATCATTTATTTCTCCCTTTTAGAATGCAAGCAATTAATACTGAACTAATACCCATCCCTGTGAATATATGACTGTTATCATTAAGTACAATATCATTACATTTTCATATCCACTACAATGCACTATGAACAAGTGAACCTTTCTAAGCTGTTTTCATTCCTTAATTTGTTTTAGATACAACAAAATTGTATTTTTATTTTATTTTGTTTTTTTATTTTTTTGGTTTTTCGAGACAGGGTTTCTCTGTGTAGCCCTGGCTGTCCTGGAACTTACTCTGTAGACCAGGCTGGCCTCGAACTCAGAAATCCGCCTGCCTCTGCCTCCCAAGTGCTGGGATTAAAGGCGTGCGCCACCACTGCCCGGTACAAAATTGTACTTTTACCCTAGTTTTATACTTAGTAGTCTCATATGAGAATTAGATATTGTTAGTCTAAAATATGGGTATTTGTAACACAAGACTAGCAAAGATATCTCAACATTTTTAGGAAAATAAAAAAGACAATGTTATATAAAATGTCTGGTAAGAATTAATACTAGACACACAGAAAACTCAGTTTCTGTTATAAAAATTGCCCTTTGAAGGGTAGCCTCTCAGCATGTATCTACTTATATATGTGATATTATTCCTATGTTTTGGATTACTGGCCTCATATACAAATTAACTAAGGGGTACTTTTAGGCTATCTTTTTAGAAATCTGTGTTACTATTATGAATTATGATTAGAGTTATTATGATATGGCATGGCATGGTGATGCACACCTTTAATTCTAGTAGTCATGAGGCAGAGGTAGAGGCAGGTGGATAGATGTGGTTCAAGGCCAGCTAGGGGTACAATAGTGAGACTCTGTTTGTCCATGCAAGAAAAAAAGTATATATTGCTGTAAATTATTATTGTTTGAAGTTTCTCTTCACCCACTTCTCTATCCCTTTTTCCTCTTCTTTTTCCTCTTACTCTTTTTGGCTAACAATAAAATCCCAAATAAATCATATCTTGCAAACCTTGATTAACATTATACAAAGCTTTTTGTTTGTTTTGAAACAGGATCTCACTATGTAACTCTTGTTGCCTGAACTCACTATGTAGACCAAGCAAGTCTTAAACTCACAGAGATCTGCTTCAAGTACTGAGATTAAAAGTGTGTGCTGTCACTTTGTATAGCTATACAAAGACTATTTAAACTGTATGTGGATAAGGAAATTAGATAAGTATCCAAGAAATAATCAGACAAAACATACATATATCTAGTAATTGGACCAATAAAATATTCTCAATTTTGGTTTGGAGCAACTACAGAATGGCTAAGATAATAATCATAAAATATAGGTAATTAAGATGATCAGAGTTAGACTATTCCTTACAATTTTTTTTGGGGGGGGGAAATAAATTTTACTTTAGAATTAGGTATTTGATGCAAAGGTGTCAATATCTCCTTCATTATCAATAGACATCAAATATTGTAAATTATTCAACAGAAGGCTATGAAAACCAACACTATCACTGTATATACTATTTCCTTCCTCTCTCAGACCTCTCCCCAACTCTTCCACTGTGGTGCTGGGGATCAAAACTAGGACCTGCATATGACAGATTAATACCCTAGTTATATGCTTCTTTTAAAAAATAAAATAAGCTGAATGTGATCATGCACACATGTAACTCTAGAGGTGCAGGTAGAGGATCAGGAGTTCAAGGTCTTAGCTATACAAAGAGTTCCCTGTCTTAAAGACAAAATGATGTTACAATAGGGGCCATGGCATTGGCTCCGCTGACAGAGGTACTTGCAACTTGATAGATCCCTGATGAGTTTGATCCCTGGAACATACATAAAGTCAGAGGGAGAGCAGTAACACCATAATGTTGTGCTATGACCTCCACATGTGCACTCTGGCATGTACTTCCCCTTCTCTAGCAGTACAGATTTAAAAAATAACATACGTGTTTAAATGTGTAATTATTAATGTCAACTTGAAGACTATGCACCAAGAAGAAACACAACTCTGAAATTTTGTTTTAGTACAGTTTTACCATGTCATTGGCTTTTCTCAAACATTCTAAAATTTAAGGCTAAATTTCTTCACTGCAATAGTCACGAACTTCTGTATTATCAATAAAATTGGAACAGCTATGATTTTTTTTAAAAGTTGTTAAAAGAACAGTTATCCAAAGTCTTAGGAACAAACAAAAATCAATGAATGAAATATAACAGCTGTTTCATTTGGGTCAAATGTCAACTTGCTTATCTTAGAGTCTTCAGCAGAGCAGAAGTGAGAGCACACGGATGGATGCAGAGGCCACAAGAGAATATTAGCAAGCACTTGACTAATTTTAGCAATTCTCACAGTCTCTTACTCAAAAAACCTTCTGCTTTGAATGTTAAAAGGTAAGTAAGTTTCTAGATCTCTTACCAGCTTGCTTAAAACACAGACACTTTTCTGAACCGTCTCTCTGGTGATGTCAGCTTGCCTCACTTTTAATGCCTATTATAAGCAAACAGTTATGTATTAGAAATACTTTATAGCAGCATTTACGAAACAGTTTTCAGTAAGAACATAACAAAAAGTGTGCACTTGATTAAAGAATGTCACAGTAATCTCAGATATGCTAGTTGAGCCAGTACCTGCCAGCCTTGTACTAAATGTCAAGCTAGGCCCTAGGTAGAATAGTGAAGGGACAATCCCTACTCTCTCAGAATTTACTAGCTGATGGAAACTGTTTTATGTACAAGTCACATACCAGACCAACCATTTAGTGAGAACCAACAAACAAAAACTGACTGGATTAAGAAACAAGATTTGCTGTCTCCTAAAAAAACATAACTGTCAGACATCTAAAAACTGAGAGTCACAAGGATGGAAATCAATCTACCAAACAAATGGGAGCCTTCAAAAAAAAAAAAAACTATGTTGCTAGACTTATAGCTGCTAAAGTAGACTTCAAAGCTAGTCAGGAAAGATAAAGAGGGCCATCATAAATGTGTTGTTAGGAACGGATGCTCACATTCACTATGGCTGTATTTCCTCTTTTCATTAGTAATGCTACTGAAATGCTGTAACGTTTTGTTTTTGTATATTTCTATACATTTAACTACTATTGAATTTAATTTTTAATGTAATTTTGATGCCTTCCATCTTTTACTAGTTCTCATTATGTAAATTTTAATATGTTAATAAAAATAATGCATGACAAAAAAATGGTAACAAATGCTGGTACTTATTTGAAGAAAGAAAAACCCCTAATCACTGTTAGTATGGGCACGGATTGTTCTGGCCATTATAAAAATCAGTATGGAGAGTCCTCAAAAACCTATACATTAGTAGCTGAAACAATGGCTCAGCAGTTAGGAGTACACACTGCTACGGCAGAGGGCCCGAGTTCTGTTTCCAGAACCCATGTCAGGTGAGTCACGACTATCTATCACTCCAGCTCTATGGAACTAACTCCCTCTTCTCACCCACGCACACACGTACTACATGAACGTTAATGACTGTGATTCCCCAAATGACCAAGACCCAAGAAGGGGCTGGAGGAGCTTTCTCCTGCTGCTGTTCATCATCAACCATCATACCTTGGCTTCAATTTGTCGATAACAAGAGATACCATATACTGTGGCTCCATTTCCATTTCTGGGTGGCAAGTGAAAAAACACAGTATCTAAGAAATACATAGAAAAATGTAAGTAGTGATATTAATTACTCATTGCTGAACAATCAAATTATAATGCAGTCATTAACACAAACATGATGACACATCAGAAACCATGGGATACTTATTTCTGACATAAGACTTTTTCCCAATCGTTACAGTTACATGTCTGCCACAAAACCTAAGAGTGTCAAAGATAACAAGTCAAATTGACTATACAATTACAGAAAATCTATACAGGGACTATTCCAGACTAAAGAAAAATCAAATCATAAAAACTGATGGCAACATATGAATTCTTAAATTTTCTGAGTGAACTCAAGAAATTTTAGGAAAAACTGAGGAAATCTGAACACAGATTGGATGTGAGATGATATTATGGAATTACTGTTAAATGATTTAGCTATGATAATAGAACTGGATGCTGGGGAATGATTACATCCTTAGAGGGGGCATGCACTTAAATATTTAGAAGTCAAGTGTCTCTCGTTATTCCAAATGACTTTAGAATAAAAAGTAACAAAACTGACAATACACACAAACAAAGAAAACTTGCAAAATATTCCTTATAATCTTAGTTTAATTTTTCCACCAGGTTGAAAGCACCCATAATAAAAAAGTTAGGAAGAAACATATTTCTGAGGTATATCCTGTAATAAAACCGATTTAAACTATATGGTAACATCTGATTTATTTTATAAGGAAAATATTAAATAATACATGAGGAAAACAAGTACTCAAATTATGTTTAATCTGGTTTAACCAAGGTAAAATAGTCCTTCATCGGGTGTGACAAAGCATTCCCACATGGTGGGAGAAAACTCAGTGAAACTGTCAGTACACTCTTCTCTGAGGACACAAACATTCTCATGTAAGTAAGAAAGGACAGGGCTGCAGCAATGGCTCCAGAGCGAAAGAAATAATCTCAACTGTATGCAGGTGGGCATTAGAGGATGGGCTAGTAAGTCTGAAACTAGAGCTTTCCAGACCATGTACAGCTAGCATAGACAACTCTTCATTTCTGCCACTGAGTCCGGTCTCAAGCATGATATAACTGAAGGCACACCCCATCAGCAGCTGCCCTACTCTGGCTATAACTAAGAGCTCTGGGCAGGAGGGGACCCAAGGGTTACTGACCAAGGAAATAGGCCCAGTATTCTCTGAAGCTTCTCTTGAGCATGTCTCACCTCCAACACATATACATTTTATTAAAAAAAAAAAAAAAAAAAAAAGATCACAACAGGTCCAAAGGCTTTCATTCATCCAAAGTATTCAGGACTACTATGAGAAAATTTCCAAAATTGCACTTAGTCATTTAATGCCATACCTTCCTGATAGTTATGTGCACCATCTGGTAAGGCAAGGAAAGGCAAATACTTCCACTCTTCAGGTAAAGTGTGGCTGTCATGTCCATCTCCTGGAATTAGTGGTGGGTAAGAGAATTCAACCTAAAATGGAAAAGAATGTTAGCCAAACAGTGATCAAAGAAAGGGTCTTATACTGACAAACTGTAATGCTCTTACACCCTGAATGACGCTATTGAAAATAATCAACAAACTCACACACAGAAGTGGAGAAAGATGAGGAAGTTTATAGACTATTCTTGACTGATTTAAAGGGTCTAGTTATAACTCAAAGTGCTATAAGTATGTTTAAATAGAGTCTAGGTGATAAACGTTCTCAAGAATTCTGTAAGTGAAATAAAAGCTATGTCAGGATGACTTGGGTTCGCAGTGTCTGTAACACAGTTTCTTTGGGAAAATGTGGTCCAGACTTTAAACAGCCAACTTTGGGAACACAATTCATCCAAAAATTGTAGACTGCCTACCTTATGTTGGCAGTTTTAGAATTCTTATTTCCTGCTGGTAAAATTGCTACCATTAGATGCTTGTACTTGAAAATTCCATCAGTTTGCTAACTGATTTCAAAACAGTTAAACTCCTTTCTACATGGACACTCACAGTTTTAATAGCTACATAGTACTACTACTACTTATTTGTTATATTAGGTTTTTAATAGCTTTATAAACTAGTTATTGTTATTCAAATGGGCATAATAAAAATACTACTTACTGGTTCCTTCAACAAAGATGCTAAAACCCTTGAAACTTCCTGAGTCACAAATTATTTATAATCAGCCCCAGTATATGCTAGCTTATACTTAAGCTATCTTTAGAATAAGGGGTGGCCACCAAAAAGTCCATGCCTTGATTAGAAAGATGGAATTTTCAAGCTTGTCCTTTGACCCTAGGGAAGAGCCTGGAGATTGAATTCAACCAGCAAATAGCCAATGTGTTAATTAATCATGCTCATGTAATGAAACCTTTAAATCCCTTAACAGTGGGGTTCAGAGAGCTCCTGAGTTGCTAAATACATGAAGATGAAGGGGAGGAATGAATGCTCCAATTCCTCCTTCATATCCTGCTTTATACACCACTCTCTTCATGTGGCTATCCTTGAGCTGAGGGTTGTGGGAACCTTTGAATTTGGGGTTGAACTGAACCTTAGGTCAGGTGGTCTGGAACCTTGGCACCTCTAACTGGCTTTGTAATAAGTCTTATGAATTCAAGCCCTTAAATTATGGGGTTTAATGTTAACACTGGGTAGAAGAGTAGGTAAGAATCTGAGACAAACATACACAATAAGCTTCCAGATATTAAGAAATTAACACTTATCCTGATTATCTACTACTAAGTAGTTCACGGACCAAAATCTAAGTAAAATTTAAGGATCAAAATCCACGATGAGGCATTAACACACATCAGTGTGAAGGAGATACCAATGTCCCCCAAAAGGATCAAGCTAAAAACAAGAAAATTTCAAGTATCTCTGTTTAAATACCAATTTATGTGGGCAGATCTACTCTGATTCCAAGTATTTTACGTATTTGTTATGAAGTGATAACAGGAGGAAAGAACACAATGGCTAACTTATAAAAAGTGGAAACAATTATGATGCTCTAAATAACAAGGAATAATTTTGTCCTCTTATTTTATATGTACAGGTGTTTTGCCTGTCTCTATGTAAGAACACCATGTAGGTGCCTTTTTCTAGTGGTTACCAAAGAAACAGGAAGTGGGATCCAAAGCTGAGCATGAGGCAGGGATCCACCCTCAGTAGCCTCCAACCCTGTTAACTCCTACTTAGGTACCTAATAAGAAACATTGCAACTGTCACTTAGAGTTTAAAATAATAAGAAAAGGTGAAAGCTATGTTGAGGCCCGTTAAAGCAAAGCTACTGTCTCTGGGTCAAAATAATGGACTCTTAATCATGCCTTTTGTCTTAGGAGGAGACAAGACATTTTGTTATGCTCCAAAGATTAGAACATTACATACTATTCCCTCTTAAGAATTAATCCTGGGCCAGTAAAATAGCACAGTGGGTAATGGTACTTGCAGTCAATCCTGAAAACTTACAATCCCTGAAGTCCAAGTAGTGGAAGGAGAGAACTGTCTCCCCAACTTGTGTGCCTTTTTTGTCAATCACCTGACCAGATACTGCTATTTAGGAAACCTGGTTCACCTGAAGGCATTATGGAGATGAGGAAACAATCTGCTTAATAAGATCATGTACTCATCTCCCAAAAGCCCCACTCCCGAACCGAAAAGCTGCTTATAGCTTTTCCATCGAGCAGTACTAAGTCTGCCAACACTTCCTTTCCTATCTTTCTATTTTTTCTTTGGACACAGTCCAAAACCCTAAGGACACATGCTCATGCCTTTTTACTTTCTATGAAGACAAGACTCCTCCGCCTCCATTTATAGCTGTTTACTGACTTCCAGGGCTGAACCCTCCTGGTTTATTGGACTCTCACTCGAAAGGCATGACTTTCAGGACCTATGAAATGGCTCAGAGGGCTAAAGTCATCAAGCTTAACGTCTGTAGTTTCCTTTCCAGAACTCTCACAATGCAAGAAGAGAACTGTTCCCCATTTGTTTCCTTTAAAATTTGCCTGAAATTAGACTATTTGGCATGAAATAATTTATGTGTATATTTCTACAGTAAGTTTTCTAGTTATAGATCCCAGATTTTTATTTGTTCCAGTATATAAAGTATAATTGTCAGATTGTCATTTTTACAAAAGAACTATGAGACAGCATCTCCTAAGTAGTCTTGGCTGGCTGGAACTTACCATGTAGATCAGATTGGCCTTGAAATTAGAGACCTGCCGGCCTCTGCCTCCCAAGTGCTGGAATTAAAAGTTATGTGCCACCATGCCCAGCTCTTTTGTTTTTTTTAATGTCATGAATGAGTATTAACATAATTTCCATTCTCTCTCCAACTCCATGTCCTTCCCTCTCAGGATTTTGTCTTTATTATTGTTACACACACACACACACACACACACACACACACACACACACACAGAGACAGAAATATAACCTGCTGAGTCTATTTAGTGGTGTGTGTGTGTGTGTGTGTGTTTTGGGCTGAGCATTTGAAATGATTAACCCATCAGGGGCTTATCCCTGGAGAAGACTCAGTCTAAGCATCCATTAATTGGTTGTGGCTCTTCATAGCAAAAGAAAAGTAAAACTTCCATGCATGTACAAAATAAAACTAAAATGTAGTTAAACAAGTAGTGATGACTGCTTTTCTTTCTCTTCTGTCTCTCCAGTCTGGTGCCTGTCAAATTTATAACTTGTTGATTCTGGATTTTGTGTGTGTGTGTTTTTTTGTTTTGTTTTGTTTATTTGATTTGTTTAGCTTTTTGAGACTTAGTTTCTCTGTGTAGCCTTGTTCTGTAGACCAGGCTGTCCAGGAACTCAGAGTTACACCTGCTTCTGTCTCCTGAGTGCTGGGACTAAAGGTGTCACTACTACCATCTGGCTCTTGTTTTTGTTTTTGTTTGTTTTGTTTTATCAAATGACCCCTAAACTTCTTTCTGAGTCAGTTTCTAAACTGTTAGGAAATCCAAGTTTCCCTGGTGAAGTTCCAACTGTCTTACAATTCTGCTTTTTCTTCCCAGTAAATATAGAGTGTGGCTGGAGAGAGAGTTCAGAGATTAGAATATCTGTTCCTCTTACAAAGATCTCAGTTTCAATTTCTAACATGTACTTTGAGGAGTTCACAACTGCCTGTAACTACCGTTCCAGGAAATATAACACCCTCTTCTGGATTCCACAACACCAGCATACATATAGTTCATAATATATGAACATGCAGGCACACACACATACACATAAAACAAACAAATAAATCTTGGAGTTAAAAAAAGAAAAGAAATAGAGTTTGAATCTGAGATCCAGGCCAGCTTAGTCTACAGACTGAGTTCCAAGACAGCAAGGGCTACACAGAGAAACTCTGTCTCAAAAACAAAAACAAACAAACAAAACAAAAACAAAAACAAAAACCCCCAAAAAACAAATAAAACAAAAGAAAGAGAGTTGTGGGGAAGAGTCATAAGGTCCCACCCACCTTTGAGGCACTATTAGCAGTTACAGATGTTAGGGGGATGGGAACGGATCATTTTCCTTAGCAGTATAGCCATTAATCTGCCCAGGTTTCAGTGAATAATTTCCCCATCCATGCTTGTGCAGTGGGTCACACAACAATAACAACAACAACCAAAACAAAGAAACATGAAAATAGCCGGGCAGTGGTGGTGCACACCTTTAATCCCAGCACTTGGGAGGCAGAGGCAGGAGGATTTCTGAGCTTGAGGCCAGCCTGGTCTACAGAGTGAGTTCCAGGTCAGCCAGGGCTATACAGAGAAACCCTGTCTCGAAAAAACAAAACAAAACAAAACAATACACACACACACACACACACACACACAAAAGAAACATGAAAATAGCAGGAGGACCTGTTGAGAAGAAAGGGTTTAGAAGGAGTAGAGGGCATGAAGAAGAGTAGTGAGAGGTGAAAAGATCCAAAGACTTTATATACTTGCATGATCCTGTCAAAGCATACTAAAAAGAAAGAAAAGAAATACAGTTTGGTTAAAAACCAAAAAACAAACAAGAAAAAAAAAACCAGTTTATTCAAGAATTAAAGGTGCTACCTATGTATACAAACCAGGACTCTATCAGAAAAGAGGCCAAAAGCAAAAATTTAGAGTGGTGAGATAGCCTAGTGGGTAAAGGTACCTACAGCCTGACAACGTAAGCATGAAGACCCTAATTCATGTAAATGTTGAGAGAACCAACACCACAAAATTGTCTTCTGACTTCTACACATGGGCCATGCCCCATTCTAAGCACATCATACACACAATAAATAATAACAATAGTTATATGTATTAATAGCTATTATTATTATTTTAAGGTTTGGAAAGTAATTGCTCTCTATTGAACATTTAAAAATTTAAAACTATGAACAAAATCAAAGAGCTTGCCTGATACATACTTGATTATTTAACAAAGCATTTATGGTAATCTGATTTGTGGGCTGGCCCAACCTAGTAAGTATTGCTGTTCTCAATCCTCAGAAAAGCTTTTTTTTTTCCTTCACAGAAATCTACAAATGGTCAAAATGCAGAGTACAACTGACCATGAGGTACCCAATCCAAACTGATATATCTATAACACAATCTCTACACCTAATGCTCAGGGAACATGGTAGAAGGCAGGGTGGAAAGATTCTAGGAGTCAGAGGACATCTGTGAGATAATATCTTCTAGATATAACAGGAAAGCTGCACACATAAACTCTCAGCAATATGGTTGTCTAAACAAGACCTACAGAATGACAACAGTAAATATGGCAAAGCAGATAGGGGAAATCTCACAAGGGCCCCAAACCTAGATGAAGAACTAAAGGCAATTCACTGAGCTGAGATACGGAGACTCAGCCTTCTCCAGGGACATGTCCCTGATAGGTTATCTATTCCAAGTAGTCAACCCTAAACACACACACACCAGCAACACTAGATATACTCAGCAGGTTAAATTTATATGTGTCTATGCTTATGTGCATGCACACATGCTTGCATGTGTATAACAGTAAAAAAGATGAAATTGTAAATTTGAGGAGAGGGAGGGACACAAGAGGAATTGGAAGAGGTGTAAAATATGTAAATAAGTATTCATGTGTAACCAAAAAAAGAGCAGGGCTTGGCAGCAAATAAATCTTTGTTCTAAGATAGGATCTCTCTGTTGTATAGCCCTTGTTGTCCTGGAACTCAGTCTGTGAACCAGGTTGGCCTTAGAACTCATAGAGTTCTACCTTTTGTACTTATTAGGCAAGCACTCTACCTCTGAGCTACCTACATTCCCCAATCTAGGATTAGGTTCTTAGTGCTGTTTCTACAATACCCTATGTAGGTGTAATTTTAAAAAGATCAATAAGCCGGGCTGTGGTGGCGCACGCCTTTAGTCTCAGCACTTGGGAGGCAGAGGCAGGTGGATTTCTGACTTCAAGGCCAGCCTGGTCTACAGAGTGAGTTCTAGGACAGCCAGGACAATTCTAGGACAGACAGGTTTCGAGAAACCCTGTCTTGAAAAACCAAAAGTAATAATAATAATAATAAATAAAATAAAAAGATCAATAATTAATCAAGCTACTTTAAGCATCAATTGAGGAAAAACTCAACTACGATTTGTTTGCTTCATTGTAATTATTATATATTATCTGGCAAAAGAAACTGAGAAAGGCATACCAGGAAGCTATCTGGATTTGCTGGTCTTAGAGTAACATAATACAGGCCTCCTGACTTCTGACACAGAACTTAGTTTACAAAAGCCATCATTTTTATCTGCATGCTGAAACCAAAAACCAAAGGCAAAAAAATGAGATAGTATGCAGGCTGCTCTTGTATCTTTGCTTTTAAATCAGTTCTCTAATTTTTATGTAGTACTACATACTGTTTCCTTTATTGAAATTTATATTATCAACGAAATCAGTAAGAAAGGCAGAAACCATAATGAATCTTGACTTTAAAATGACAGCAAGAATCAGAAGACTATATCCTAGCTCCTTATCAATTCTGATGTTTTCTTTCCTTTCCACAGCTCCATTCAGTGTAGTTCTGAACCCAGCTTCCACAATGGCTATACTGCCACACACATGAACACATATGGCACAGGAAACAAGGTTACTACTTCTGACACCAGGGCTGTTTTTCAAAACAATATGATCTCAGCAATCATTTTTTTTTCAGTATGATTTTTGTCATTTTGTCACTTTACTCCTAGCTTATAAAGCAACTAGCTAGTTCAAAGGCTGTAGTCATGAAGTACTAAAAAATCTTCTTAGTATCATACACAATAATGCTACTTTCTCTTTAGTGTTATTCTATATCTTTCTAAAGATAAAAGAATATAACATCTTAAAATAATAGTCTCTTTTTTGAGGCAGGGTCTAAGTACCCTGTCCAACTTAAGATAATCCTCTTGCCTCAGCCTCCCATTTGCTGGATGTATGCCGTGTGCCACCACACCTAGATTGAAGGTAACAGCTGACACACATCTCTACACACACACACACACACACACACACAGCTAGCTACCACTTCTCCACTCTCGTCACTACTTTCGTTATCGTCTCACCAACTGAATTTCTGTCAATAAATTTTCTAATGTTACATTCTCTGTGAAAGGAAAGAAACCAAATGTTTTCTTATCTACTAGTAGTGATCCGTTTTTTCACCACCTTAGGTACACAATATATATCCACTAGCACATTATGACATCAGTGCCTTCTAGTGTTTGTTCAGACTAAACAAACCTATTCTATTTTGCTCCTCTGCCTGCAACACAAAGCAAACGCTCTGCTCATACGGCAGGTTGAAGAGTCAGTCAGCTAAGAAGTTGGCTCCATTTGCACTCTCCATGTCCATGTGCATTACCTGTTTGGTAAATTACATTTTTACTTACGGCAACCGATTTGGAAGGTTAACCTAACCAAAAGAATAGTTTTTTGGGGCAGGATCAAATCTTTACTGGCACAAAGAGAAGGGGGCGGGGCCGGTCGCCAACCCTAAACTACAGATTCCAAGGCTTGCAAGAGATAAACAAAGGAAGCTGAGCGGAGCTTACAAGTGCGTCAGCCTACTTCGCGTGGAAACCCACAGCTCACGACACGCTGGCGTTCAAACGCCGAGTTTTTCCTCAAGATTTCCTTTCTGAGTAGACACCCAGCAGGTCGGTGGAGACTGACAGGGAACAGAAGGCTCGACCGTCATTCTTCCTCTAAACCCGAACCCCCCGCAGCTCCTCACGCAATTCCCGGAGGCACACCGCGCGGGAAGGCCGCGGGGCGCCGAGGAGGGTCCTCACCTGGCAGCCCTTCTTGTGGTGAAAGCCGACCACCACGATGTGCAGGACAGGCCCGCAGGGGGCGCCGTCACTCTCACGCCCAGCCTTCTCCATGGACGCTCGCCGGAGGCCCGCGCCGCGACCACAAACGCCGAGGCCCAGTCGCGCGACCCAGAGCGGCGGCCTTCAGATGGCAGCCCGAGCGCCGCGTACGCGATGCGACACGGAGTCAGGGGCCGCCGACCAGCTCCCTCACCTCCGCGAAGCCCCACAGGGCCTCCACCTCTCTGCCTCATCCGCTTCCGCAGCTTCCGGGCTGTCACCTGACGCTACAGCCGCCTCCGGCGGGGCGGGGCGGCACCCTGAGGCCCCTGTCCCGGCTGGGTCTGAGGCAGCATGGGCGGAGCCTGACCAGGGGGCGGGTTTAAAGGAAAAGGGGGCGGAGAGGGGCGGGACTGTATCGCAGGAGAGGCGGGGCCTGCTTGAGAGCCGGCCTGGAGGAAGAGGACCCCAGCTGAAGGCGCGGCCTACAGGACCGGTGGGGCGGGGCGGAGCGGGGCGGGGCGGGGCGGGGCAAGGGAGGGCAGCCGCTTTGACCCTTTGCAGTGCTGGAGAGACATAAGGGTTGGCTTGGCTGCCTCTTAAACCTGCTCCTTTCTCCCTACCGTCTTTGTCAAATCATTTCCTTCTAAAATATATTTTTTCTTCATGAAATATTCTTACTCCTTCTTTTTCTTTTTTCTCTCTCTTTCTTTCTTTCTTTCTTTCTTTCTTTCTTTCTTTCTTTCTTTCTTTCTTTCTTTTTTTTGAGACACTGTTTCTCTGTGTAGCCCTGGCTGTCCTGGAACTCACTCTGTAGACCAGGCTGGCCTCGAACTCAGAAATCCACCTGTCTCTGCCTCCCAAGTGCTGGGATTAAAGGCGTGTGCCACCACTGCCCGGCCTTACTCCTTCTTTTTACCAGTTTTACTTATTTATAAACGTATTTTCTCTTCATTCTTTAAATCTTTCGTGGAATCTCTCAGCCTTGAGTTTTAAATGTTTAACAAGGAGGCATATTCGTGAGGTTTGGTATCTCATGCATTCAACATTGAAATTACGTTGCTTGCTTACGCAAAGTTTTCTTTACTTTCACTCTAGAATTTTTTTCATTTAATTTTTTGGTGTACAGTCCCGTATAGTAGGCTGCAAGTGTGTAGTGCCACAACTTGAGGGGCTAAATGAAGTAAGAGGATTGCAAGTTTCGAGCTAACCTGGGCTGCATAGTGTTAGAAATGTGCTCACAAGGTAAAAGATCACTACTGCAAGTGTAATGACCCAGCAAAACTCTGTAACCTTCAAACCAGTCCAGGTTTGGTGGCGCACACCTTTAATCCGGGCACTCCAGAGGCAGAGGCTGGCAGATTTCTGAGTTTGAGACCAGCCTGGTCTACAGAGCAAGTTCCAGAACAGTCAGGGCTATACAGAATCCCTGTCTCAGAAAACAATGATGATGACGACGACAACAACAATAATAAATGATTGATGATGAAGATGATGATGATCAGAAGGGTCATAGTCCAAAAACCATAGGAGCAAGCACATCTGTTGAGGATGGTCAGGTGGTGGTGGTAATGGTGGTTGGCTTTTCCTTTTTAGCTGAGGTCCTGTCTCATGCTTTACTCCTGGCTGGAAAAGAACAAGAGAGTTCAGAGAAGGCACTGTTTAAACTGAGTACACCTGGATCAACTGCTCTAGTTCAGGACCTAAGACAGGGGGAGGAGATGAAGAAAACATGTGGTTATTAAAACTGTAAGAAAAGACAAATTTTTCCCTTTGGAGAGTGTGGTGGATATTCCTGGCTGTCAACTTGACTACATCTGGAATGAACTACAATCCAGAAATGGAGGGATCGAGTTTTTGAGGCGGGAAGACACAGGCTTCTGACCTGGATCTTGACATGGGATGACTTTTGATCCAGATCTTTTTTTTTAAGATTTCTTTATTTAATTTATGTATATGAGTACACCATTGCTCTCTTCAGACACACCAGCCAGAAGAGAGTATCAGATTCCACTACAGATGGTTGTGGGCCACCATGTGGTTGCTAGGAATTGAACTCAGGACCTCTGGAAGAGCAGTCAGTTTCTTAACCGCTGAGCCATCTCTCCAGCCCCACAATATTATTTTTAATAAATTAATTGATTAATTAATTATGCATATGTATGTTTTGTTTGCACATATGTCTCTGTCTTTGTGACTTTTCTATTGCTGTGAAGAGACACCATGACCAAGGCAACACTTAAACATTGATTGGAGAGTGCCAATGGGCATCAATGTGATATAAGAAATTCAAAGAGCATTGATTAAACCCCATAGTACATCTGGGAATGTGGTAGTTTTAGTGTGCCAAGGTAGATAAATTGCTGCTTTAATGTGGTTTATGGTTATAAAATAACCATACTTTGCCTGTTGGAGTGCCTATGTGGGAATGGGAGTACAGCTTTTGAGAGTTGGTCTACTTCCTCCACCTTGTGAACTCAGAGGCTGAACTCAGCTTCTGCAGCTTGGCAATCTTCACCTTTACCATCTCTGAGCCATCTCACCAGTTCCCTCCAATAACATCCATGTGCAAGCAAATAATAATGCTACCTGTATGCTGCCCCTCCCCTAAGCCAGATAGAATGTTAGCATTAGGAAACACAGATCAGTAAGTAACAATACATCACATAGAATGCAGTTTGCTGTGTACTAGATCTTGTACCAACCAGTTTTCATAGCTTATTTCATTTAATCATTAAAATAATATTTTAAATGGGTGAGAGAGATAGTTCCATGGTTAAGAGCATTGGCTCCTCTTCTAGGAGACTTGGGCTTGATTCCTATTATCTTTGCGGGATTCATAATTGTAATTTCAGTCCCAGGGGAATCTGGTGCCCTCTCTGGCCTCCATGGGCACCAGGCACGTATGTAGTGTACAGACAATAAGCTGGTTTGAATAAGAACGGACTTCATGGCTTCATATATCTGACCGTTTAATTACCAGGGGTTGGAACTGTGACTACAGTGGATGCGGCCTCAGAGGAAGTATGTCCCTGGTGGGGGAGGGGGGCTGGGGGTAAGTTTAGAGGTTACCGAAAGCCATGCCAGGACCAATCTTTTTCTCATGGCCTGTGGATCAGGATGCTCCAATGCCACGGATGCTGCCATACACCCCTGCCCCCATGAACGATAACAAACTAAAGTTCTGCAGCTTAAGGCAAGTTTCCAGTTAATGTTTAAGTGTTGCCTTGGTCGTGGTGTCTCTTCACAGCAACAGAAAAGCCACAAAGACAGAGACATGCATGCAAACAAATCCCCCATATACATAATTAATTAATTAAATAGATGAAAATGATATTGCATTTGCCATTACCGTCAGTGTTTCTAATAGATAAGCTGAGATTTCAAACACTGGGATTAAAGGCGTGCGCCACCACCGCCCGGCTAGTTTTAATTTCTTATTTTGTGTCAGAGTCTGAAATGGCCATGCTGGCAACTGATGTCTCCTCCTGTCTCTCAAGTGCTGGGTTTACTGGCCATTCCACATTAAAAGGGGGCCTTTTAATCTTTTCCAAAGCAGAAGTGTGATAGCAAGGTTTCTAAACATGACGGTGTCAACATACAGAGTGACATTTTAATGGTTGCCTGTAAATCAAAAACTGATAGTGACTTTAAAGCCGGTAATAAGCCAGACTCCTAGAAACGACAAGAAGAAATGAAACAAGAAGTAAAAATTAAAAAGAAAAAAGAAAAAAAAAAGGTTGTGAGAAATAAGGCTGCTTATGGATTTTCAGTCCTCTGGCCTTAAAAGTACCATGGTGGCGCATGCCTTTAATCCCAGCACTTGGGAGGCAGAGGCAGGTGGATTTCTGAGTTCGAGGCCAGCCTGGTCTTCAGAGTGAGTTCCAGGACACCCAGGACTACACAGAGAAACCCTGTCTCGAAAAAAAAAAAAAGGCACCAGATTCCTTAAGAAAATGAGTAGTTGTTGAGGAACACTCAGAACGAGTTTATGGTGGAAAATATAAACTGATTTAATCGCTCTGAAGAAAGATCCCGGCTTGAGATGAAACCTTCCAGAGGAAAATTAGCCGACTCGGGGATCTCGTATGCTGTGGTCTTCCGGAGGCAAACTATCTCTTAAGTTTAGCAAAACTTCGGGGGTATCATAGGTGGCTGTCGGGTTGGTGGCACGGAGAGAGGGTCGGACCTTCTCTACCGAATCTCTCTCTCTGCGATTCATTTGGACCCGCCCGATCGCAAGCTCGGCCTCCGATTAGTCAGGTCTAAACCAGCCGTGGAAAAGGGCGGAAGCGCGCTATTTTAAAGTCTGCGCCGGTGTCCTTAGGCTACTTCCGGCGTGGCCATGGCGGCTAACGCGACCACGAACCCGTCCCAACTCCTGCCGCTAGGTAAAAGTCTCGCTTGGGGAGCGGGCGGGTCGCTGCAGTTTCAGGTTGGGGGGCCGAGGCTGGGCCGCCGCCCCTCCGGGTCCGGCTGTCCCGCCTTTGGCGTCGCTGGGAAGACAGACAGACCGTTTTGCCTGTCGGTGGTCGGCGAAGGTCCCACTAAGTGAAGGACATGCTCGGCCATGCTTCTTTTTGAGCTCGCCAGTAAGGTGTCGTGGTTAGCAGTTCCAGTTATCAGCTTGGCCTTTTCGGTCTCCAGATCAGGTAGACCCTGTATTGTATCCGGTCGGGTAAGGAGTGTGCCACGGCATACAATGAATCTTACAATAGAAATCTGGAAACTGGCCCCGTTATTCATTAATTCAGTTAGCAGTTCCCGCGCAGTGCCAGTGAACTGTTGAATAACGAACTTAAATGACAGCCATTGCTTTCAGGCAGCAGCACACCGGTACACACTGTGCTGAGCGGTTCTCAGATGCTGAGACAGACGCTCAGGTTGTTCCTGGAGCACAGAGGGTAAAGGTTAAGTGTGAGAAGCAGTGACAGCAAAGCTGGTGTCTGTAATAATGCTTCTCCCCTGTAACGTTTGGGGGCTGGTGAACTTAGTGAATGTGGCTCTGATTGAAAGTTTTTGCAGTGTTAGATATTGTTTATCGGTACAAACACTGACGAAGAAAAACAGTCCTGGTCTTCATCCGCCTCATGGTGTGTGTGTTTTCATATATTAACCAAATAATCTAAATAAAAATCACAGTCCTGTTAATTTGCAAATGAAGAGTTAAGTGACAGCTAAGGCAAACATTTGTGCTAATGATTTGTATGAGATGTAAAATTATTGAATGTTGATCCATGGCTCCAGATACATATGTAGCAGAGGATGGCCTTGTCTGACATCAGTGGGAGGGGAGGCCCTTGGTCCTGTGGCGGTTTGATGCTCCAGCATAGTGGGGGATGCTGGAGTGAAGGGGCAGGAGTGGGTGGAGGAGCACCCTCATAAAGGCAATTGGAGGGGGAGAAGGCGGATGTGGGAGGGGAGTTGTGGAGGGGTAACCGGAAGGGGGATATAATTTGGGATATAAACGAATGGAATGATGAATAAAAATAAATACGTGCAAAAAAATTATTGAATGTTTCTGTTTATCTTTAATGATAAGAAAGTAATAAGTAAAGTAGGCATTTAAATGTTGGTTGATTTAATAAGTGGGTAAAACTACCTTTTGCTTTCTACAGAGCTTGTAGACAAGTGTATAGGATCAAGAATTCACATCGTGATGAAGAGTGACAAAGAGATTGTTGGTACACTTCTAGGATTTGATGACTTTGTCAGTATCCTTTTTAAAACTGGTGATGATGTAAGCTTTTAAAGACGCATTAATATAAGTAAGGACTATAGACAGCTAATGTATTTCTGGTCATCACATTAAGAATAGTTTTGTTTTCCAGGAACTTGGTAGCATTTTAAGAGGTGTGTGTGCTGAGAGACGATAGGGTTCTTGCCAACAACCAACCTTTTGAATTTGCAGTATCATAGTGGTGAACATATATTGAAACCAAACAAAAACATACACGGGAATAAATTCAACCTTGTTTATTTTCTTAACGTCAAATTTCAGATATGGTGTTGGAAGATGTCACAGAATTGTGAGTAGTATTAAAAATTAAAGAATTGGGGAGGAAATCTATTTTTAATTAAAATGGTGCCCTGGTTACTTTTCTATTACCGTGAAGAGACAGCATGACAAAGGCGCCTTATAGAAGAAAGCGTTTAACTGGGGACTTGCTTGCAGTTTCAGATGGTTAGAGTCCGTGGCTGTCCTGATGGGGATTGTGGCAGCAGGCAGGAAGGTGTGGAGCTGGAGTAGTACCTAAGAGCTTATGTGATCAGACAACAACCAGGAGACAGAGACAGAGCGAGAGTGCGCTCGAGTGAGCACTAACTGGGTGTAATTTAGGCTTTTGAAACTTCAAAGCCAACCCCAGGTGACAACAGCTCCTCCAAAAAAGATCACCCTCCTAATCATTCCCAGTCTACCGATGAAGGACCAAGCGGCCGCCATTCTCCTTTAAACCTCCATAGCAGCTTTAGTATGACTGATTAAAAAAAATTACTTGTTGGAAAATACCTTAATACTGAAACATTATTTATTGGTATTTGTGAAGTCCAGTTAAAGGATTATTATTATGTTCGTATTATTCCTGAATTTGTAAGAAATTAGTGTGAACAAGCTTTATGGAGAATTATATTTACATGAATATTATCCAGCAGGCAGTTTGTATTCCTGAAATGTACTGTAACTATAGAAGTTGACATTCATTCTTACGTAAGAATAACAGCTTTGGTACTAGGGATGGAACCTCGTGTATGTACTCTGCCACCAAGCTATTCATTCTCCTTACCCCAGTAATAACTTTTAGGGAGGGAAAGTGTTTCCAAAATACTGCCTTTGATTGTTGATCCTGACTCCATTTTCATCTATGTATTTAGTGAAATTACACCAGAAGGAAGAAGAATTACAAAATTAGATCAAATTCTACTAAATGGAAATAATATAACAATGGTAAGGCATTAAACTTTTCTTTTGAAATTATTGTACTTTTGCAGTGTAGGGATTATGGAACTGACTTAACCTGTTACTTAGTTGACAGTGTTCATGGCACTGAGGTAGATGCGCTGAGGATGGAAAGGGAGCCTTGGTGATCTGAGACCCAAGGCAGCTGTTGAAAGAGCATTGACCCTTAAGATTAGTTTGCTTATTAATCTCTGCAGACGTTTAGCTCATCGGGAATCATTAATAACTTACGCATCAGCTAGTGATGCAGGGATCACTAACAGATACAGAGGACTTGAGAAAATGAGACTTGAAGGATGAGAGAGAGACAGAGCTGGCTTTGGTCCATGAGGAACACTCAGGGTTTTTTAGGTGGTATGATAGTGTTATTAATAAACTCTTTTTCTCCAATGCAGCTGGTTCCTGGAGGAGAAGGGCCTGAAGTATGAATGGATTCCCTTGATTTATGCTAGATTCTGGCTTTTTTTTTTTTTCCAAACCTTTAACGTTTAGATTCTATAAAATGAAGTTTCCGTTAAAGGGAAACTCTTTGAAGATATGCATCCATTTTTCTAAGCTAATCATGGTTATTTTGGGGGAAAAGAAGAGTTTTGTTTTGTCTTGTTTTTTTAAAGACTAAAAAAATAAAGATGTTTTTTGGTTAACTGTGACTTGATTTATTATGTTGAAATAGCTAGTGGAATAAATATAGTTCTTTTGATACTTGGTTTCATATTGATTTCTGTTTATTTTCTCCCTTGTCTATATTAATCTGATTGGGCCAGGGGTACTTTTACTCAGTGGCTTGAGGGCAGGGTGGAGCAGAAGAGATCCGTCCGATGCGATGACCTCTAATGGCTGTTCTTCCTGACCTCTTTGCTAAAAGTGAACTTAGTTCTTGTTCTTTTCAAAAAGATTTTATTTTTATTTTATGTGTATGAGTATCCTCTGCATGTAGGTCTGCTTCATGTGTAGTGTCTGCAGTGACCAGAAGAGGCGGTTGGATCCCTGGTATTAGACTTGCTGTGGGCTGTTACCTGCAGTGTGGGTCTGGGAATGAAATCTGGTATCTCTGTATGAGGAACCAGTGCTCTTAACCGTCGAGCCGTCTCTCCAGCTCCTGAACCTAATTCTTAAACAACATTCACTCCAAAACAAGATGGACTTTGAGTTTGAATATACCATTTAAAGAACCTTAATGATCCCTTAAGAAAATTCACTTCAAACTCTTGATATTTCGTAATGATACTTTTCACGTTGAATTCAGTTTTTATTAATTCCTATTAAAAACACAAACCACGTGTGCTACTGTATTGTACAAGTGCAGGTAAGTAAAAAGTAGTATTTACATCTTATATTTTCTTAGCTTGAAAAAACATTAATTTATTTTTTTAATGTGTGTGAGTGCCTGCCTGTGTGTCTGTGTACCACTTACCTGCTTTGTACTCTTGGAGGCCAGAAGATGTCGGATTCCCCTGGAACTAGAATTACAAGGGGTCATGTGTGAACCTTATGTGGATGCTGGGAATGAACTGGGGTC